GTGATGAAGGATGCCCACTGTCAGGAGGGGCAGATTCCATGAACATCTGCTACTGACACACACACATACACACATCACAGCATGTAAAGTGAGGAGGAGGAAGTGGGTGGAAAGAGAACAGCTCAGACACATGCTGCTTTGTGACATTTACATGTATTTGTGTTTACCTGTACATATGCAAACCCAACTGCACACACACACACACACACACGTGATCTGCCTGCTGTTCAAAAAGAAGCATGTAAACACAACAAAAACCATGTGCACATACACATCTTGTTTAAGTTTTGTGTGTTTCTGAGAAACTCTGAATAATTCAAAAACTTAAAAGTCCTTGGAAGCTAACCTCCTCCCCACACACACACCATCCAGTGCATTGGCAAATATATGTTTTTACACTACAAGCTTAAATTTAATTATACATTACTTTTATTCTGAAATTCCAAGTGGAGTCTGTGCACATTAGTCGTAGGGGCTCAACACGTGGATCAACTCTTACTAGAGTGACTTCCAACTTGGTTGTTTGCATGAGGGAACTGATGAAGGACAATATTTAGGAATGGTTTCCAATAGGCGATTTTATTTTTAAATTATTTTTCCAATTGGCAATATACTTAGATCCACTGAGCTCGGACTCTAATCTCTTATCAAACATGTTCTCTCTCTCTTTGCTCCAAGAGCAATGTACAACACATTTTTAGCTGGTGCTGAAGGTCAATATTACATGGTTAAAATTCCAAATAATGCGCTGATTTCACACATCCAAGACTATTTACTGGTCTTGGGAAGTACTACTACATAGAAAAAGTTATATCAAGTATTTTGTGGCTCTGGGGGGAGCTACGCAAAATCGAATAAATTGCCTTAAGTGATATCACTCTAGGCAGCGTCGGCTGCATCACAAGTTTGAAAATAAAAAAAAATGTGGAGTTGAAGAAGTGATGTTACCAGTCTTCTGTAGCCCACTCCTTATCTCTGCTCGAGGCCATGAGATCGAGGTTGCTACTTTATTAGCATAACAATCTCCAATCGAACTGACTGCGGTTGACTTGCATTGTGGGTAATGTAGGCACAAGTTTTTGACAAGAAAGAAGAGTGCTTGAAATGTGTCCATCAGGGTCCGACAATGTTAAAGCCACTAAAATAAAACATGTTTGCTTGATGTACCATTTTCATGCCAGTGCCTGTACCCACCCAAAAGAAAGCTTAGCTCACAATCTGAGCTACATCAGCTGATCACAGCTGATTGTAAACAACCTACATCAGCTGATGGCTCAGCTCATTCTTTTCAAGCATCCAATTGGCAAATATCATACAGGTCGCCTTTTTTAAGCCTCCCTACCCTTGCTGCTTCCTCTGAAAGCCGCTTTGCAACCTGCCTCCACCCCAGCTCCGCCTTTTATGCTGTATGTCATTTAATTAATATAATTTCTGTTGTCACTGACGCATGCTCTGTTATGTACCCTACGGGGGTCTTTGCAGCTGCTCTCCTTAAGCTTTCCATGTGTGCACACGGAAGGGCAGGGAGGTCCCAGAACAAAGTCAAACCGTCAAATACAACATACTGCAGTTGGAAATAAAGTTTTCTTTTTGACCAAAGTGGTCCTGACTGAACTGTGTTTTTGTAGTTCACCAAGACCAATGGAAGGGTGACTTGTCCCTAGAGAAATCATCTCGCTAATCGCATCTCGATTCGGTATAATCTCCCAGTTAAGCTTTCATGCACATAGTATCAATATTTTAAGCTTATCAATTAAATTGCTTTGAATTGGGGATCCTGTGATAACTCATGTGTTTGGTAGATATCAACGTTTCATGTTTTCTGGTGATTTAATTTACAGGTTCTAGTGTATATAGAGTTTTTAGTTATTTAGGATAAGTGTTTCAAAAGGATAAGTGGATTTAATAGTGGACTTATTGACTAAAATGGCATCCTGAAAGCATTTTCGTGAACCCTATTGATTTGATAACATGCTATATGATAAGCAGTAATTAATGGCTCCTATCTAAGGGGGATCGTGTGAACATCAAGGAGAAGAAATATCAAAGTCTCACATCGCTATCATACATTCAACCAATGCCTCTCCCACCCTCTCTCTATTCTCTTTTCATTACATTCTTCTTTCATCCCTCTTTCCTCTCCTCTAACCCAACTCTTCTGTCTTCCGGTCTCTCCCTTTTTCATGGCACTCTTCTCTCCGTAGTTCCCATCCCCCCACTTCTCTCTGAGAGGAGGACTGTCAGCAGGCCCATATATCTGACACAGAGCACCATGGACTCCATACACTCACACACACATATATATCCAATATGCGATATAGTGTTCACTAATGGGGCAGCGGGTATGAGGGGAATGAGAGATGGAGGCGGCTGGGCGTTTCTGAGTCCATCAGACAGGTTATATAAGACACTTGACGAGGACTTTCCTTCGCCATAAATCTATAACCTTATGGAAGATACTATAATGTCAACAATAGCTCGATTAATATCACTGGATTCCCATACAGGGCCAAGAGTAGCCATAGGTTTTAAGCCCTATGCAATACCAAGAAATAAAATCAAGTGATATTGATGTCAATCAGGGCTGTAACTGATGATTATTTACATTATTTATTAATCTTGATTATTCTTTGCATTCCTAATGTGTTCCATTAAAAGTCAGTGAAAAATAGACCATCATAACTTCCCCAGGTGACATTTTCAAATAGCTTTTTTTGTCCAACCAACTGTTGATAAAGCAAGAATATTCAATATGCAATTATTAAATAAAGAGAGAGAGAAAAGCACCAAATCTTGACATTTTAGAAGCTGGAATGAGTAAACATTTTTGCATTTTTGTGTGATAGAAGACTTAGACGATTTACAATAATAAAAGTTTTTTGTATCTTCCTGTCGATCAACTAATCATTTAAGCACTAATGCTGATATACAGACATCAGCTCAGGACCATCTGTCATCACTGAAACTCTGCAGCCTTTTAAACAGAAATGAATGCAGCAATTTGAGCATTTTAAAGCACACCATTAAAGCCAAAATGTTAAGTATTCAAAGCAATGCTTTTATCTTTTATTGATGGTTACAATATTTTGGAGTGCCGGGATTCATTTCTGACAAGCAGCCGGATTGCTGAGATATCTACACACATAAGATACATAGCCTGAGTTAATTCAACAGTATCGCTACCAGAACTACTCCTTTAAATGGATTAATTCATGTGGCATGTTCAGCAGGGTTCAGGCTTCATGCAGCTATGCTCTCGGACTGCTCTGCTCAGGCTCACTAAACATATCGCACTCGTTCTGACACATGAATAATGTGGAAAATGGAGAGAGAGAAATTCCACTTCTGTTCCTTCACCTGATCCAAGTGACTTATCCTCTCTCTCTTCACTCTGTTTCTCATTTCTCACACACACCATGCATTCGCACTCTTTCACACTCTCTCTCCCTTTCTCTCCCTTTCGCCTTACACAGAACACACACACACACACACACACACACACACACACACACACACACACACACACACACACACACACACACACACACACACTCTCTAACACCAGGCAGAGTGCTGGTTCTCCTTGGCAGGTTGCCTCTTTCTAAGAATGTTTGGTGCTACAACCCTGAAGGAATACACCCTCAGCGCCTTCGACACGCTGCCTTATGGCGGCTAACATGCTGACACAAGTGATGAATGACAATCAGTAGGAGAAACCAAATGTGTCTTAAAGTTATAAACAATGAAGTCACTCTGTGCTCTTTGACAAGAAACATGCGCACAAAGTTCTTGCTTGTACAATAAACATAAAAGATCAACTGACTGATTTGCCTCTATTAAAGGAATCTGATTATGGCAAACTGTTTACAACATGTAACGTCAGAAATCATGTCTTGAAAACATAATCTGAGTTAGCTGAAGTAGGTGTAACTCTTTTATACATTGTTCAAATCAATATTTGTCTAACACAAGTGGCATGGGTGAGGACTTTAACTGTACAATTGTATTGTCTGCAATACATTAGGTTTAGCGAATGAGCTGATTACTGTGTCGTATATTAAAATGTATGCTGCAGAACGTTACAAGAGGAATAAAGAAAAAGCAGAATCACAACAGCTGCTACATGACAACTGCAACAATATTGTGCAAATCAATGCACTGCTCCATGCATTGACAAAATCCAGTGATGGTGGATAAAACTATAATACCCAGCTGGTGTTCATGAGAAAACAAACACCCATATCAACATAAAGTAATCCTGTTTTCTTACTTCACCAATCTCATGTAACTCCTGATGTTAGTGCAGGTGCATGGATATGTTTACCTCACCCACAGCGATGGAGGAAAGGGATTTTCATCTGCAGTATCTAATCTTCTTGCAAAGAAAGCAACAGACTTGCAAGCCCCAAACAGCTTCTGCAAGAACTCATTTAGACAGTAATTTACTGACATGGCATGGAGTTTACAGGGGCATTTATGAGTTGCATCACCACGTTTGTAAATACAAGTCAAGACGAGCCAGATTTTATTTAAGCATACAGTTGGTGAACTGAAAAAAATAAAATATGAATTAACTGTGCCTTTAAATGTGTCATATTAGTTTGGGATCTCTTTCCTCACATCATTTAGAAGGTATGCAAAGTTACATGGTGTTTAATAAATGGCATGCTGTTAGCCAGGTCCCACAATAAATTTGAGAACTATTCAAATAAACTATAAAACATAAAAGTTCCTTATGAAGGTGGCTTTTATATCTTATGAGATTAAAAATATTTGCCTGTGGGGTAAATTATAAGGTCTCTCTAGAGCATCAGACGCCGGGTCTCTATTATCACCAAACAATAACGTACATCTAAACGCATTGAAAGTGCGAACGTCAGTGCAAACTAAACTACTGAACATCACCGACGCGCAGTGAGTGTCGATCCGCGTAAAACCTGAAAACTAAGTGAACGTCGCTACTTTTGCTCCAGTTTTTTCTGCTGTAAACTAACATGTACCTGGTTGGTGGTGTCAGGCGGCAGGTTCTTAATGAGGATTTTCCTCCTGTTGCTCAGCTCCTGGCGAGTTTTGGCCAGCCTCCTCTCGATCTCCTCCGGCTCCAGGTCCGGCAGGTCGCGGAGGCTAATCCCCGAGTCGGAGGGCTGCGCTGCCGCCGCCGCCTCTTCATCCTCTGGCTGCCGGCTCTCGGGGCTGTCCATCTCCGGGGAAAGTGCGCTCTCCCCGGCTAGAGAAGAGTGAACGCTCGGCGGCTGGATGGATGAGGCTGCCGCCATCTTGGGTATCTGAGTGAAAAGTGTGAGGGAAGTGAGAGAGAGAAAGAGAAAGAGAGAGAGAGAGATAGAGAGGGAGGGAGAGCAGGTGGGAGGTGTGTCAGTAAAAGAGAGAAAGAGCGAGAGAAAGAGAAAAATAAATAAATAAATAAAATGCAAAAAAAGGAGACTATTTTAGTTGAGTCAAGTTAACTAATTTGTTCCTAAATGTAGCCCATTATTCTTGAATAGAATTAATTTATCTACTTAGCCTACTTATCTATATGTTTGCTTATATAATAAGATGATAAGTTTAAACTATTACAAGGCATAAAACCAAGCATTTGTTTTGTTTTGTAGCTGGATATTGGGTTTTTATTGTTTTTATAAGATATGCATTCTTCAGGAGAACAGTGAAACTGCAAGCATCGGGATTTTACTGCTCTACATAGTCCATTATTAGTTTGCTTTATGGTAAAGCGTATAATGCAGTAGCTAATGAGCGAAGCCACTGGTTTAAATGGACAGTCTGCTGCTCGCTATGGTTTCTTTCTAGGACGTCGGGCTGCACCTTGGACTCCTGGCGACCCCAACTGTCTGCTGGATGTATAGAAGCCAATTAAGATCCGTCATAAGCACCACCAGACCATCACATTTACTTGGTTTGGTGCGTGTAGGAGCAGCTTGTAATCAACTACACTGGAGGTTGTTCGATTTTTATTTTTTTTCATGGCATCCATTTAGTTAACCTACTTAAATCCTGCAATCTCCAGATTTTTGGCCAAAAACAATAAAGTGAATATATATATATATCATCAGCCACATGTTGAGTCTGGCAAGTGTTGTAAACTGTGTACAGTACATTTGAGACATAATTGGACTGGTAAATATACACACAGCCTTAAGCACAGTAGAGAAACTCAGCTTTTATTTTTGTTCTATAGCCTAATTAACACATTTATTCTTTTGGTCAAAGAGAGAGAGAGAGAGAGAGAGAGAGAGAGAGTCATTCATTGGAGACTATCTCTAAACCACCACAGCTTTCCTGTTCCCCATGTGCATAATGTGACCATGAATGGCTGTGTGCCTTCCCTCCTTTCTACCCAAGTCATCCAGTGAATGCCAAACTAGCAGCTAACCGAGCCTGCCTGCCTGCCCACCGTGGGTGGAAAGCTGCTCCTGGCAAACACAAAGGGAACAGAGCTCCCCGCCGAGTCTTCACAATGCCTATGTAGCTTCCGCAGGCTGCATGAGTCGCTGACAGACACACTTACTCTATACTCGCACTCGCAGGATGCATTTACACTCATGTAGGGCCACAAACATGTCAGCGAGAACACATCAACCCACTGAGGAAATATTTAGAGCACGATTATGCCGAGGCCCTGTAAGAGACGATGAAATCAACCTCCATCATCCAACCTCCATGTTCTCTCTCTCGCCATCTGTGTGAAGCATTTCTTGGCAGATTGGAGTCCAGACAATCACAGTTGTCAGTGGGTGAAAATGATCTCACGTTGCCAAGTGGCTGAACCAGTGTAACTGAAACACACCGACTGTATATGGACTGTTTGTATGAATGCTTCAATCAAGCTTACACTCCAGTCCACTCCAGAGCGGAAAGGCCAAAGAAAAGGACATTTTGTGTCATTTCAAACAGAAGCAATAGAGGACGAACAGCATCCAACATGTTTTGATGTATCAGTCTGATTCTACTTAGTATCGTGGTGAAAATCCAAGTCAAACATATGTCCTCATGCAAATCAAAAGATTACAAATGCTTCTTGACCAGGATGAAAACTCTATGAAGACCATATTTTACCTCCAAAAGACAATACCAGTTTTTACTATTTAAAAGAAAAAGAGGATTTCAGGGTGCAGCATTTAGATCAGATGTAATTACTTCTTAAAATGAACAGTAGAGCTCAAACAATGAGTTAATCAATCAATTAGGTAATCAGCAGAAAATAAATCTCCAACTATTTTGCTGATCAGTTAATGATTTCAGTCATTTTTTTTAATCAAAAATGCCAAACACTTGCTGCTTTACTGTGTCAGACACTAAAGTGAACACTATATTTTTGGGTTTTGTACTGTTGGTCGGACAAAACAGCACACTTAAGGACGTCCTCATACAGATAAAAAAGGTATCAATTGATTTATCCAGGAAATGTCAGTTCCATGGACAGTTTGGGGCTTAACATGGTTCCTCATAAGTGTCAAGCTGCTCGGACTCCTGATGAGCAGCAGTCTGTTTACTGTTAGGACTGTCATGTACTCATATGAACATAGCATTAAATGTGCTACTAATCACAAGTCTGTCCTCCTGCAAACCAAACGCAGAGAGCAGCATTCCTCCTATACGCAAGACAAGATGTCCAATTGCAATCATCTGAAACATGTAAACAATCTGAAAAAGTCAAGTTTTAATCAAGCTGCAGCTCATTCAATAGTCGGTGCCTGCTGACAGATTGGGGGACATGAATCATTGAGCAGTGGCTCTCTGAAAAGACAGCGAGGACTTGCCTGTCACTTGCACAGGCTGATTTTGTAGACGCATGAATCACTCCACTAAGTGCTAAACAACGTTTCCATGAGAGAACAATTAATTTGTTCTCTCAGTCCCCCTGGCACACACGCATGCCAGCACCATATTACACTTACAGACACACTCCAACACACACATACACACACGCACACACGCACATGCATTAACTCATGACGGTCTACAGCCGCCTCGTACAGTCACACAAACTCTGTGCATTTTACCTATGTGCAAGTCAAACCTCCTCATAATGGGCTATGCTTCACAAACCAAGGGAAAAGAGATGTTAGTCCCTCTCCATCTAAAAACACAAGAGCCCTGCCGGTGCTTCAGTGTGTCAGCCAGTGATTCACAGCCGTTTGGAGTGGGTGGGAGTAGAGAGGAGAAGAAGAAAGCGGGAAAACGTTTGCCGCTGCTCGCTGGGACTGAGAGTGTGAGGGCGTGGGTGGGCAGAGTGGCTGAACGGGCAAAGCAGGCACCTGGGATGAGCTCAGTAGGCGTGAGGATGAGAAGGGAGGGGAGGAGAGGGATGAGGGAGTGAACCCTAAATGGCAAAATGGTTCATTGTGCGTGGGAGTTGACGGTGAGCACATACACGTGTATGTGTGTATCCTGTATGCTTGTGCAGTGTGATTATGGATGTCTCACTCTGCAATCTGGTCTGGAATGCAGGAGGAGATGTGAAAATGGACTGTAGGCTCTCCCTACATTGATGAGCTAGTGTTGTGCTCTCATAAATGATCACAGATGCAGTCTGGTGGCGTGGCTTCCTTTCTCTTGTAGCACAGAAGACATTAAGGGACATGTGACCTACTAAAAACAGCTGACCTGAACCCACAGGGACAATATGCATAAGAGTTCCCTGCCCAATTCATGTCCTAATTACACTGGTCATAAGCATACCTCTTCACCAGTGCGTCAGAGAAGCTACTTTTATGTTGCCAGCAAGTGAATCAGTACTAAGAATGTTGTGTCTATTTTAACGTGAGTACTCTTTGTTTTCAACCCAAGCCTAACTCCAGTGTGGGTTTTGTTTTTTATGATTTCATCCCTCTAAAGGCCCCAATTACGTTTTTTTGTTACAAGGATGTTATTCTGTAAAGCCAAACATTGTGATGAAATCTTTCCTGGGCAGATTTTGCTGTAAGGTTCAATTGTGTTGTCAGTTGTTGCACATTTTCCATGTATCTTCAGCCAAACTCATGTAGTAAAGAAAGCACTGTCTGTCAAAGTGATTTAAAAGATTTTTAAAGTGCTATGAATTGTTTGCATACAAGACTTAAGATGATTACACTGCTCAGATGCGTTTGGGAAACTGGGACTCTGGACCGTACAAAATATGCTGCTAGAGCATGTCTGCTGTACCAGTTGGCAGAGCGAAGACTGGCTGAAATGACCCGAGGGTGCTTGGACACCGAGCTCAGTGCTCTAATTCACAGCATTTCTCTGACAGGGACAGGAGACAGCTCGAGAGGAAGAGGGAGAGTGGAGAAGATACAGTGACAGTGAAATAGAGACAAAGGCAGGGCCATGTAGGGGAGGAAGGAATGAATGCAGACAAACTGATAAGGTTTATGGGACATGGCGACAGGCGGACAGACACAGACAATATAAAAAGAGTTCCTTTTCACCTCCAGCTTTCAACAGTGCTGAACTACTTCCCTGCTGATGTTTAGGAAACTGAGAGCCCGGCATTGGCCTTTCTATTTTCACTATCCACCTCAAGGAGAAACAATTTACTTAGCTGCACTCTATGACCTTCTCTTAAAATAGAAAAGAGATACAGTAGCTTTTCAGAAACCACCTACGCGTACGCACTGTATTGTTCATTTAAATAAAATGTGATATCTCAAAAGAAGAGATCAAATGAAAAGTATCAAAGAGGATTGACCTTGTAAATTCACAGATGCTCCGTTTGAAAATCTCCAATGAGATCCTTTCCATATGCCACAAACAGTCTAGGTGTCTCTTTAAATATCATTAACTGCACTGAGGTTTATCATATACTATAGCAAAGACATCAGGAAATCCAGTCTGAAACACCACTTTCATTTCTTTGCAATGTCAAAATATGATTCATGAAACTGAAATGCCTTAGGTTAGCAGAGTCAGCCTTATTCCAAATCTCAGTGCACAAACCTGGAGCACAATTATTAGTTTCCCATTATTGTTTGGTAAACATGTGACCAGAAAAGCTAGTGAACGTGTGTCCAGAAAATCTTATTGCTGACAAATTCCCTAAATAGACAAACCAATGATGTATTAGTCCCACTATTAATACATTCCACTACTTCCATAACCGGTCTGTTGTACTCGGGCCCGGGCTTGTTTGTTCCTACTGAATACGTAAATCCTTTATAAAGCGGGTTACAAATATAAACATCATTTTTAAAGCAGACTTCTTCTGCCCTCACTATGTTATACAGTGAGCTAAACACACTATCAAAAAAGGTTGACCTTTAAAGTTTTCACTGGAAACAGTTTTGAATTAAATTGTAGTGATACATAAAAAATAAAAAAAATGAATAAAAGCTACTGTAGTAACAAGAAACATAGTTTTAAAGTAGACTGTCAACAGTAAAACAGTTATTTAACGTTACAATGTCGCATTAGCAACATATTAAGTTAGTCAGCTGGTATAATGGCGAGCTTGGTTAGAAATAAGAAGAAATAAATTACTTTAATTAAGTAACATTTACAAGACAGCTTTAATAACAACAAATAAAGAATACCTACCTAGAAAATGCTCCAACAAGGACGTTTGGGGAGTAGGCTAGCTAAAAGCGGCCTGTCAGTTATTTGACAAAAGGCTGAATATAAAACTGTCAGTTAAACTGCTCGAGCTGAGTCAGTACTGGTTGCTACTAGCAACAGCACTTTGCACCAACTGCTGGTGGCAGAACAAATCATTTCCAACTGGTTACTGTCATTTTCATCAAACTCAAACTTTGTGTGTTTGTTTGTGACTATTTCAGCTGCGGATGTGGTGCATTTGTGAGTACTTCAGTATATTGACGTAAGAAAGAGCATTTTAGAGACTGTTTAACTTTTAATATGTGTACATGCTATGGGCACCTAGGGGGCTACAAAAAAAAACTACAATTATTGTGAAAGAGCAGAAACAACTGGGATGTAAATATTAAAACTCAGGTGAAATACAAAGCAATACAAATTGTGTCTGATCCTGTTCACCCCCGTTTTAATAAATTCATAAAACAGCTCTCTGAAAGATGCTTTAGAGCCGCTGCAGCAACCAATAACATTTACAAAAAGAGTCTTTCATACCTAATGCAATAACTTTGCTAAACAGACCTTTTTCACAGCCGCCACTTTGACATGAACAAGTAGGGTAAACACAGGTGTTAACGATACTAATCTGTTCCATTTAGTGTATCCGAGCTTTTTCAGCGAGCCAACATGCACAATAGCAACACACCGACTACTGATACTTAATTAGTATCATTGGTAGTACCTGCATTTACCCTACTATTTCATGTCAAAACGACTGCAGTGAAAATTGTCTATTTGGTAACACTACTGTAAACAGAGTGCTTACTCAGATGTTAAAAGAAAAAGCAAGATCCCCAAATGTTATGTGAAAAGTTCAACATACATGTACAACATTTTTGGGATGGTGTTAGGATTTGGCATAACGGCCACCACACTGTTGGCTTTGGAGCTGAAATAGCTCAGATGGGAGAGTGTTAGACTGAAGATCTAAAGGTCCCTGGTTTGATCCCAGGTTTTGGCAGGTGTGGGTTCCAGTTTTGGTAAAGCTTTGCCGTGATGGTTAATGATGATGTATAAATATAATAAAGATTTGTATTATTTATGGGAGTAGGGTGGTGTGCGAGGAATTGATTCAAAATAAACAGTGCATACGGTACATTGACTGTTTTAATAGAGAGGACTTAGATAATACGCTTTGGTTACACAGACTATACTTGATAGTAGAATCAGATCTTTGTTGATTTGTGGGTTTTCATGGGATTGTTTGTTGACAATAACAAAAACACAGAATAGCTATATACATATTTTGACTTTTTCCCTTTCTGAGGAAGTAGAAAGAAAACCAAAGCAGCCTCCTGTGATACGAACCATGTTGTTTCTCCATCTGTGGTTGTTACCCAGGTCCCCGGGCAGGAAACACTGTATGTACAGAAAGCCCTCATAAATAACTGATAGAGTCTTCCCAGGCAGTATGTACCGCTATTCTTCGCCCACCCACAAATGGCATGACCTACTGCCAACAGCATGAAACGCACTGAAGAACACGCTCGTCTTTTGGAGCTAAGTGGAGAAAGCCCCATTTCTTGAAGTACGGGTCAAGAGCTAACATGATCATGGGAGGGGTATTCCTCGAGTTTTATCAAGATAGATAAGGAATAGAAGATGTTCAGAAAAAACTTACTTTTTCCTTACTACAAAAAAGCCCATATGAATATAAAAACCAGACCAGACCAGATCAATCACTATAATAAAGTATTGCCCTCTGCAGAGTCAGAACATATGATATGATAGTTTCAACTGGGTGAATTCTGGCATCTTAGTGTTGAAAAGTTGTCTCTCCAACTTCTGGGTCAGACAAATATCTCTCTCTGACATAGCAGACAGTTCTACATGTCATTAAAAATACTCGGCTCCAAACAAGGCCAAAAAGCCTCTGAAGAGCAGCTTTTTGGAGTGTAGGTGTCCTTAATGTCCCTGCGTGAACCAGAGTGAATAATACGAGGCTGGAGAGGCATCGCACATTATTACTCTGCTGTCAGTGAGCGTGAATAGTGGGGCAGGTATTGAAACAACACACACAAAATCCCCTGCGGATAATCTCCCTGGCTTACTGTGGGTGAGGCAGTTTGTGGGTGACCCGCTCCATGACCTCGTACAGTAAGAACAAAAAGGCCAGACTGACAATGGACAAACACAACTGGCAACATTTGGGCCTTCATATCATCGTTTATAGGTCTCCATAACTCAGCATTTGTGCTTGATAGAGGCTAGTGTTGGTCTGGAATTACTTTTCAGTTTTACTGTGTAGCTAAAATTTTATATAGAAATACCTCAATTCTGTTGCATTTAAGTTCAATTATATTTTAGGTTTTCTAATAACTTCTAACTAAATTCCAGTTACCACATAGGATTTGTGAGGAGGGGGAGGCCTTGTCCTGTCAAATGAGGACAGAGGGTTGGATGGTTTCCACAGACCGCAGGGTGGACAGTTTTCATAGGGACTATTAGTTTATATGAAAAACATGTAGACTCTGTGGTCTGTGGATGTGGATTGTCCAATATAACAATGGTACTGTTTCTGGAAAGAGATGTTGCTGTTTAAAGTCCTAAATGTATTTTTTAAATGCTGTACCACAAATTAAATGGCCAGATACCACTAGGGAGAAGCATCATTTTTATATTATGCATTTATTTATTGGTAATTTGCGTAATATGTCCCTTTAAATAGACGTATGGGGAGGGCATGGGGACATATACACCCAAATACACTGCCAGTATTTAATTTATGGTTCATGAAACAGAACTTCCTGGCCTGTATCTACAGTAATTTACAGTACAGACATTCAATAAATTGTGTTTTCATTATTAGACCCACTATGTTGTCTTAAGGCTGCTAAATAATGCATGAAGTAAGTGCCACTGTTGACAGGTGTGTAAATTTCACACAGCCTCTCTCTCAATTTGGAGACATACTGTATCGATCCTGCTGTTGTGTGATGGCCACAGATATTTCATAAAGTCAAAGGGGGGAGGGAAAAAAAGCTACATCTTCATCTGTTTGAGCAACGTGAGACAGTCTCTGAAAGTGGATGTTTTAAGCCACAAAGAGTTGGCAACATGGTGATAGTGAAGCTCAGACAGGGTGTGATTTGGGTATCAGGAGGTGAAGCTCGGCTCCGTTGGGCTCCGATTTAACCCCCAATCACGAGTTTATTATTATCCGGTGGGTGCTGCTGTAATTTATAAACAGTAAAATGAGATTTGAAATGAATACTACCAAATTTTCTTAACCCTTTATAGGGCACTCATTGAAATACTTACCTGGAGTGTTACTGGTGGATATAAGAAGACATTTTCTCTGTTTTGATTTTTTTTGAAAAAGTCAGTTTTAGTCTGAAAATCAAAGTCAATGATATCTACGTGGGCTGGCACAACAACAATCTGTGGCACAGCGGGCCTCCTCTTCCCATAGAAGGACTGAGCAGACAGCTGCTGCAAAAGAAATATGCCACATCAATATACTATGAAAATATGTAATAAATAAGCCATAAGCAAATCAAGATCAAGCCCACTTTGAATTATTTGTGAAAGAAAGCCGTAACATTGAAGTGTCTATAAGTATATCACCCATAAAAAAAAAAAAAAACACCAAAATATGCTATAGAAGTGTAATTAAAACCGTCATAATGAAGTGACCATATATGGTTCCTCGCCCCATAAAGGGTTAACTACACTCAACTATGACTCGGTTAGTGGATCTTTGAGCTCTGTCAGAATCTTTGCAGCTTCATAGCTATGCTCATACTTTCTTAATGAAAACAACAAAAGGATTAAATGACTTGAGTTTTTTGTTCTGCTTTATATAAGCTCTTTGTTTTGGTTGTATGTTGTTACCCACAAACTCTAATCTAACCAAGCTTATTCCCGTACAACCAGCAGCTGCTTTTAACCCCAAAACGCTCTGTATGCTAACTGCCCAGCAACAACAGCACACAGTTAGTGTAACTAACGGTTAATGTTAGCTGGTGAACGAACCCCAACAGTAGCCAAAGCTAATTAGGAAGTAAACATATTTTTTAAAAATAGTTAGACATGTTTTTCTTTGCTGACACCAAGAGAGAGCTAAAAGGAGAGTAAATGTTGGACTTCCATTCATCAGTTTGTCAGAAACACGATTTTTTTGTTGAATTAAAAAAATAAAATGAATGGAAAACACCTGTTGACATCACTGAGGTGACCTGAAGCTGCTTTTGGTGTGGATTTACCTTTTTTTCATAAATGGGAAAAACAAAAAATAAAGAAATTAAGAAAGAGGAAAGTCAATTTAAGTGTAAAATGGACTTTATCACATTCACATTGCAATAAATCTCAATTTGATAACTTTATATGATACATGAGGGGAGTGATGTACACATGTTCCTTCAGTACATTAATTAATGTGATTCAGAGTGTTCTGTATACACACACACATATACTTGTTTACAACAGCTGGTAAATACTGTTTAAAAGTTCTCCAGAAGAAAAATGCTTTTAACAACAAACTCAACTTGGAGGGAAAAAAAAAAAAAGTGTCCCAACACATACACACACACACAGACACAGACACACACAGACACAGACACACACACACACACAGAAATATACTCGCAAGACTGCATTTGATCCAAAAAGATTTGCCCTGAAATGCTACAAGACTGCTTTGATGTCAAACTGAACAGAAATGATGTACCATGTGAGCGGGGGAAAAGGGACAATTTTTTTTTATTCTAATTTTTGTTTGTGTTACACAAGACTGCAGGTAAATAAATCTTGCAGCAGTAAATAGTCTGATGGCTTAACCACGTCTTGAGTGGGTACTAAGATAATATGTATGTTTTAATCTCTGTGCTCCATCAGAGGTCTCATATTATTTAGCCCTTTTAGCATCATGAAGGTTAATGAGCTCACGTTGGGTGTGCAAATGTAAATATTCTACTAAAGTGACACTCTGAAATAACAGTGAAATGAAGATGGCTGACGGTCTTTAAAGTAGCAACATAGCACGGCTTACAGCAGCCTACTGCAAACCCTGAATCCACTGCAAGTTTGTTGTTTTGGTCATTACTCACTGAAAAGACGTAGTACCGTTTTGTTTTTTTAAAATCTAAATTAGTTCATGGAGAGATGTAACATTCTGAAGACACATGATAAAACTTTATAAACTACAAGTCTCTCAAACGTAGAAAGTGTGTATTAATTTTCCCCAAGTACTGACTTTCATCCAATATGGACCTAAAGAAAAATGAATCTAAAAAATAAAAATAAAAACACATCCAAGGCATCAGAAATATAGCGAGACACCATGAACAGACAATTCAAAATATCAACCCGAATATCTGAGCATCATTTGAAGCATACATCATGTCTTACCAACATAAAAAAATATGGAGTGTACAGGACATTAATAGCTATTTGTGATTCTGTATTTACACTTCATAATGAATCTCTGAAAAACAATTTTTCCAAATCCACAAAGCACAGATCGGGTCAGGTGACTCTTCATCAGAATAAAAATAAGTGGATTTCTCAATCATAATAATTTCACCTATAATTCTCTAATACTATCTTGAAAAAAAAAAAAAATACAATAATGCATTCAATGAAAATGTTCCAGGTGGATAATCATTCTTTCTTCACACTCTCTCTTTCTCTCTCTCTGTCTCACACACACACACACACACACACACACACACACACACACACACACACACACACACACACACACACACACACACACACACACACACACACACACACACACACACACACACACACACACACACACACACACACACCAGCGACATTTTGTAGAAAAGACATTTTGAGTGGTTAACCACAGAGGAGCCGACAGATGGGTGTAACCTCTGTACAATAACAGCAGCATCTCTCCCCTCGTTCACTCTCTTCTGATGAGAAGGAGACTCCATCTTGGGGCATCACTGGACATTCAGCTTGTTTTGCGTCAAATCCAGCACACAAACCTTAACATACATACAGAATCGTAAGCTTGGCCTCGGAGGCAAAAAAGTTGTGGTAGAATTGGGGTCAGACAGCACTCAGTCTCTGTTAATCTCCCAGGGGGAGAGGGTCCCCAATTATCCTCACACGCCAAAATCCCTAGCAGTGACTAAAGCCAGGAATGTTCTGCTGGTGTTAGTCTCTCTCTTCCCTCCTCCTCATCCTCAGGAGGCTGCCTCCATGTCCAGAATGAGGATGTTCTGCACAGCAAGCCTTACTTTACAAGAACACAAAAGACCTCAGTGATTCAGAACTATGAATACAGAAAGAAAGAATGTGCTCTATGTCAAAGACCACTTCCTCCTAACTGCTCTGACACAGGATGTGATTAAGGCTCATTGTTTTTTCGCTTTTTTTTTTTTTTTAACCGATATTTACTGAAAAATACCTGGATTTTATTTTTTTATTTTTTTGAAAGGAGCAGATATGATTTGGACTTTTAGGTCCCTGCTCATCCAAAAAAAGTTTCCTGCTTGAAGAAGACACTGTTCACCACACTATATAGTAAAAGAACGATGGATAGGAGAGCTCAGAATATGCTTCTGGTAGAAGAAAATATAGAGAAAAATAGAAAGAAAATCCAAATGGGCTGCACATGATGCACCCTCACTGTTATGATATTCTTAAAATGAAAAATAAACAAAAACCAGTCACAGATTTTAGGGAAACAATAAACCCTAAATATGATGCACTGATTACAGGAAGTGGGTCAGTACGTATCGCTTATCTTAGCTACTTTCTTGTTTTTGTTAGCAACAGCTGCTCGCTCATCTGAAAATCTACCTCTTTAATAAATAGTAGAAAAATAATCTTTTCTTCTTTAAAGTGTTTCTTCCTATATTTATGAGAATCATTGAAGATTTTGTTTTGTACTTTTAAGTTCACAGACACTCGTGACAATGTCTAAATATCTTCCCAAACCATGGTACGCAATGCCAGCAACTACTCCTGTGGGTAAAGGCAGCGACTTTCAGAGAAAACCAAACTGGTGAGCGTCTATCTGCACAATCAAGGAGAGTAAAGCTGTAACAGAATCCCACGTTAAATCCCACTTTGTGTGGAAATACAGTATTTTCACTCTATGAGATGTAAGGAGTGCTCTGTTCCCCTCCTGACTGTCACCGCAAGTAGGGTTAGTGGGGAAACAACCTGTGTGGAGGCTGGCATGGAGCCCTGGGGCAAAAAGGTGGATCCCTTTCAGCATCTAGATTTCATGTTAATTTGATTATCCTCCAGTCCTGTGAAGTGTTTGCTCTGGCCTTCCACATGGAAATGAGGCATTTGTCCTCCCCTCAAGGCTTTTAAGGTTCCAGTTGTGTCTTTTCCTCAAGGAAGGCCATTGATTATGGCTCAAGCAGGGTTTTTTTCTGCTCCCAAAAGGTTGTTGTATGCTCTTACAGAGTCCTGAATGCCAAATTCCTTCGGAAAACAACCAAGAAAATCCCACTTGGTTATTTTTACTGGCCCAGGTCTGGTGTGTATAACTGTGTACACTGGCCAGATTTTGGACAGGGTTTGAAGAAAAGTGTTGAGATGGAGATGTTGGCACAATGAGACCATGAGGCTAATACCCATATTAAGCTGAACATCCATTCATAGCGGAGGTCACAGCTGCCCAGTGACACTCTAGGATTGGGGTCCAGCTGTGGCTTCTTTTCTCCCGCCGTCCATCCTGACAGTACCTACTGTGTGCTGTCTAATTAAGCACGAATGTTTTTAAAAATAGTATTCAATAAAAAAAAAAAAACAGTTCCATCCCTAGCTGAAGATCAGCACTCTGCGTCCACACTGTGCACGGTGACCGCGGCCTGCAGGTGGTGCGTGTGCAGCGGGTGGTGGTGTGTATGCGTGTGCCGGTAAGGGTGAAACTTGTGGCTGAGCAACGCGGCCGTCTGAGGAGGCGTGTCCAGGTCGAGGTCGTCGTCGTGGTTGCCGACGTCGACACCGGCCGAGAGCGGATCGTTGTTTCCTGGTGGATTCTCGCTGTCCTCCTGCGGACTCATGGTGCTGTAGCCTGGAGACAGAAGAACATGCAATGGTTGGTGTTACTGAACTTGTTATCACTCTTAAACCCTCTTACACACTCTTACATTAACTGATTCCCCAGCCAAAATCTTTTCAGTTTTCACAGCCCAGTTGTTTGGGTCAGGTCTCTGTATGAGCTTGCCTAATGTGCAGATAAGGCAGTGGGGGAGAAAAACTGACATTTGTCTGATATCATTGTTATTGATTAGATTTAAAAGGACAAGTGTTTAGGATTTAGTGACATCTCAATCTCACAATCACAATGAAACAGCACAGAAAACCACCCTATTCTCAAATTTTAGAGGCTGGAACCACTGAATGTTTTGCCTTTCTCATTCCTATCAAGTCTTTATAGCTGAGGTCAGAAATCCAAAGCCTGAAAGTTCAGTCATGAGTCAAAAACCATGGTTTAACCGCTTATTACACTTAACTTTTGGCATTAAAACTAAACTGGAAATGTTGAAAACCACTATAAAGTTTTGAAGAGTTAAAAATCAGTGCAATTTTTTTTTTACATTATATATTATATAATATTCTACTTCGTCTGCTTTAAGGCATATATAAAGAACTTAAAACATTGAAAAGAAATGGGAAAACACCATAAAAAACAACTACTCAGCAAATGACGCCCTCCAGTCAAACACATTCACGTGAATACATGGTAACACACACTGTTTCTGAAAGCAGTACAAGCTCTTTGACGGCACACTGACAACTAAATATCCCTACAGGGCAGTTTTGCTCCTTGTTTCAGCTTTCTCATACAATTTGAGGCAAAGACGCATACATATTTATGACCGCTTTCCTACACATGTTGCACATACGTTCAGCCTGAGGAGACGGAAACATAAGCCAACACGGCAGTTGGGATACGTTGGTAAGTGGAGCAGTGGGAGGGCAGCACTGCTGTCACACAGAAAGGGGATTACTGGGTCAGAAAATAAGAAAATAACAGTTTGAACATAAAGAGGCCAATATTTCATGATACTGCATTCTACTAATGAAAGACAATTTGAAATGTATCCTAGGCCAGATTTATCTCCAGTTTTGTGAGAACTGAGATGACTAACGATGTACTTTGATTGTTCAAAGCTTGCAGCAGCTAATTTTTATGACAACCTTAATTTTTTCACTCGACTCAAATTCAACATTACCCTTCATCTGCTGAGTGGGTTTTTATCACCTTCAGGGCCATGAAATCCATCTGAAACCCATGGTCTGACTATAAAAAAATATATATTTGGGAGTTAATCTGGAAATAAACCCATTTTCCTTAATTCCTTCAGCGCCGTCTTTTCAGATTCCGAGGTGAGACCAGCAACATGCTGCACGATGGGAACATCAATCTGTTATTACAGTTGAGCAAATAACCCTGTAAGCCTGAGTGCCTCGGCGATCATATTTATAGAAACTGCCGTTTTGGATGATGAAACATTAAATCAGAGAAACTGAACCAAGTGATTAGTGAGCGTGTGTGTGTGTGTGTGTGTGTGTCAGAGTATATGTATGCAAGTGTATGTGCGTGAGTGTATGTTTGTGTGTGAAATGTATCTCCCACCAACCTTTACTATTCTCCAAACATCAAACAGATAAACAGTTAAACCCTCAAGTAAACGTATCTAATCCCTCGACATTCTTCTCAGGGCTCTGGGAGTTCACATGATCAGACATCTTGTTTTGTTTTGGCTATCCACAAACAAGTGCTAAATAGGTCCTACAGAAAGGAAAAGTCAGGGGATCACCAAAGTTATTCGAATTAGAATTGTTTAGTGGTGTATGTCATATACTGTCATATAACAGAAGGCAGTGAACGTCCCGCATTGTGGCGTGATGTAAAAGAAGTAAATGTCCTGTGTGACTCACTGCACTAAAGTCAAACTGAGAAGTTTGCACCGAATTTTCCCTCCCCGATTCTCAGAAGATTAGCCGGGCTTTGATACCACACGGAATAAAGCTGACAAAGACAAGGAGAGACAGAAGAATGTGCAGAGGGAGTGACAAGGAGAGAAGAAATGGAGGGCAGAGAGAAGGAGGGAGGAAGGGAAGGATTAAAGGAAAAAGGAGCGATGGAGACTTCAAAGAAGTTCCAGACACTGAAGGTGCCAACTTCAGCACAGTTTATCCCTCTTTTCCCCAAAGCATGAGCCAGAGTTTCAGGCAGGTCTACAGCTAACTCTGTCCTGTTGACAATTTCCAGCTGCACCAGGTGAGGAAAGCAAATCCCTTAATGTCAAGAGGTGTGGAGGGCCAGGATAAACTGCCATGTTATTGCACCTCGGAGACACCATAGATACAGGAACACAGATACCATGTTCTTGATATGACGTGCGACTGTGCGGTCGCCATATTAGGGCAAAAGTCACCGCCTGGAAAAATGCCCCCAGAAGGTTGGATTATATGTTGTCCTTAAGACAAATTTTACAATTTTTCATGTGCAGCTGTAATTTATAGAACTGATTCATAAATTATACACCAAGAAAATAAAGGGTTGTATTTTTACACATTTGAAACAGTTGTCGTCCAGTTGTGTTTCCAAGAAGAGATCCAACCACTGACAGTATGAATCAGTAAAAACAGCCACCTCTATCTTTTTAGGTTTAGGTTTACTAGAAAATAAAGATGACCTGCTTGAAAAGTGGAGACAGACATTTTAAACATTTCACAAGGTACCCAGTCAAAGGTGATCTGACTGGGTGAAAAGATGATTTACTACTTAAATACCACATAAAAAAATCTCTGGTCTTCTCTTTCTTGGTAAGAAAGCAGTAACTAGTCAACCTAGCTAACTGGCTGAGAGAGTGGTATCGATCTTCACTTCAGATTTATATCTCCTTTAACTGTCATAATTTGGTGACAAGATTAACTCAGTAACAGGTCTGGAAGCTTTTGACTCCTAAAACATGTTTTTTTTTTTGTTATTTTGAAGGCAGAAAATGATTATGTTCTTCATGTTTGTTGCACAGTAAAACAATATCTGAACGTATGATAATTATATGTATGCACTATTCATTATTAAATGGGTAGTTCTAGCCAGCTGAAACAAGCACTGCCAAACAGCACTCTGTACATGTGTGCGTCATTCACTTAACAGATTTAATGCTCTGATCCTTTGGTGATCTGCACGTAGTGTGTGTGTGTTTGTGTGTGTGTGTGTGTGTTATCATACCCTTCAGCAGTGTGAGTGAGTGGATTGTGGTAGGAGGGCACCTTTGACCAAGCGGAGAGGAGCAGCAACTTTGAAGCGTCAACTTAGGAATGAATTTGTTTAAATCCCTGACGCACGAACACCCCCTCTTTCCATTATTTCAAACTCATCTTCCTCTCTGGCCCTGTCCTCTCGCCCTTGCATTTCACGCTTATTTCCCCTCTTTCATCATTTTTGCATCTCAACATCTCTCCTCTTGTCCTCTATTTTCAGTTTTTTTTTCTTTCCCATCCCCAGTTACACAACGATACGTCTTTCCTGTCCACTTATCTGGACTGCTCTTTTTTCAGTCCTTTTTGAATCACTGTTATACTGTGAGCGCTTTAATTATTTTACTACATGAGACAGAATGTGTTTCAGATGACAAACTTCAAAACATTCCTTCAAAAAATGTTATATTAAAAAATGTCTTTGATATTTAAGATTATTTAAATTCATTATTTTGTAACAATCCGTTCTGCAGCAGAGAGGAAGTACAGAGATTATAACTCTTGAGTCACTAAAGATAAACAACTCTTTATCCTCTCTGGTTTAACAGCTACACTGTACATAACATGCGGCTGACAAGCTCTTACTCGTGTCTTTGTTTCACTTTAGCCCACTCTCCTCTCTTCATCCTTGTTTTCTCTGTCATCATCAGTTATGCAACAAGTACTGGAGAGACTCATTGCCAGGAAGTGGAGTGATGCCATATGTAGGTGGTAAGAGCCTGTGTGGGTGAAACTGTCCATCCACGCTCGTCGAGTGTCAGACTTACAAGTTCTACAAACGATTACAGTGAACATGAGCAACTCTCAGAGCTACAGACGAGAGAAAACAAGGTTCTGAGCTGTGATATAATGAAAAGAACAAGCCAGGAGCTGAACCCCTGCCAATGAACCGAGAGCTAACTGTGGATTTGTAACATTCATTTAAAAAATATATCATACCAAAATATGTCGTCCCAAATATGGTTTCTGATAGAGTAGTTTATTATCTTGATAAGGTTTTATGTTCTATAGTGCATGTTAAAAAACTGCATGTTCTGTTGCTTTCTGGATCTGGGTCACTGCAGCAGAGGGTAAAGCTCTTCCTGGGGAAAGCCCAAGGTATTCCCTATGCTAGGTGGGGATATGTACACTCTCCAGCATGTTCTGGGTCTATTCTGGGGGTGCGTCTCATGTCGCTTAATTGCATCCACGTTTCCCTCACTTGCATCTTTTCCTTGCGTCTTAGTCCCTCCCATCAGGGAGAGGAAATGTAACGAAGAACGAGGAAATGTGTTTTTAGAGAACTGAGACGCCATGTGAAGTGACGTCCATTTAGAGCTGTAGAGAGCTTTTGGTAGAGTGGATGTGAACTGTACTAATATTAATAAAGACACACAGTTAGCAGTGCCGGAGCAGCTGCCTGTTACCTGTTTAACCTGCACATGAATAACAACCTGCATTATAGATCGCAGCTAAAACGGCGGGCACTGCCATTGATCTGACAGCCAGGTTGTAAGCACTAGGCTAACATTCTGATTAATACGGGATGGACTGAGGGTGGGTGAAATAGGATGAAGTTTCTCCCCATTATGAGAGAGGCTGTGCACATTTATGCACGAGGCAAAGCAGCATAACTTCGACACGGCGAAAGGATAGTATGGATCTGTGTTCTTCTACACGTCAAACACTTCAACAACCTTTGCTGCAGTGACATTACTGCGTGCATGCAAACGTTTAAAATGACTATTTTAGACTGAACTAACTGTTGTGTAAGAATAACATGACATGGAGGCAAATATTGGTCAGTTGTTGTCAACCTACAGAGAACAATGCAACAACTACTGAGGGATAGGAATCATATAAATAGTTTTGCTTTGACACAGCATTACAGCATCACAGGCAAATGCAACCTACTCAGTTCCTCTTTCAATCAATGCTGATGTACTGCATGACATAATACAGTGCACACAAGCAGGGTTTCTAACTGTCATCACATTTGTGCTTTTTTGTAAACTTCTCTGCCACATAAATCTTTGTTTATGTGTGAGAATTTATTATTATTTGTCTTACCATGGTCACTCTCTGTCCCAGATCGTCCCCAGTACCTCCGTCTCCGCTCAGGAGTGTGAGTGTGCCGCTCTATCACCGCAGCAATGAATCGAGTATTACTGACTGAAAGTGAACACACACACACACACATACAAAGACCTTGTTTAGAAATCAAATACCTGCACCGTCACACAGTGAGCCCTAGGCAAATTTTAATTACTTTATCATTAGTATTCAAACCCAATATAGAGTGCTACAGGGATCATGTCTTTTTGTAGGCCAACCCAGAAGCATCACCCTGGTTCCCTCAAGAAAAAAACCTCATGGGATTTTTCCATTGGATTTTGGATTATTGCAGAAAATAAACTCTGATGACACACAACTTTATGATTTCTGAAGCATAATTACAATTACCAGAAGCAAAAAAGCTAACTTTAGGCTACAAACAAACGACAGGAGGGTTGCCATAAGTGTTCGGCGCGATGACATTTAAAGTCACCGACAAACCTCTGTTGTGTCATTTAGTCGCTATTTAGCAACCGCCTTTAGCTTATGTTAACCACAGCACTTATTTCAGACATCCAACCAAAAACCCATTCACAAAACCCATCAACTGTAAGACAAATGGAAGATTTGCAAAAATGCTAACTCATTTGAACTAATTTAGGACTCAATCCTGCTATAAAATGATTTGCATGTGTTGAAGATAACATTTATATCAATGAGATATCAAACTATACATACTGATTCCTCTGTCCTCATGGCTGTCTTCATCCCTCTCATCTCTTTCGTTGTCCAGGTTGGACATTCTCACTGACATTTCTGGAGCAGCACGGAGAGAAAGGGAATAAGAAAAACGTCAAGATGAGATATTGTGATGGAATATTTGAACAGAGTTATTTATCCAAAGCCAGCAACGCCAGAGAGTTCATATCTGTATGGGAACTTCAGCTGATATTCCTTTTAGCTCTTTGGCTAAGTTAATAACCTTTATACATGGGACATTAGCCAGAAGGAAGGCTTGTTTGTGTATGTGTGTATATTAGGGTTTAGTATGTCGAAAACGGGGGCGACACAGTACAAGGTACTTTTATTGCTTCGTGTGTGTGTCGCTGCTATAAGCTGCGGCTGCAGAAGAGACTCAACATGTCGTGACTTTATGAGCCAATTGCTCAGCCTAATGCCTTGTGATAACGTAGCCACACTCTCCGCCATCTATTCCAAGTTGTTTACCAAACTATCAGACTGAAAGTGACTTGGACTCAAGAGTTTTAATGAGGTTGTAATCTTGTTTGATGTTTTTGTCAATAACACTGAGTAATTACACAAATCAAGCAGCAGCAGCTGCTGCCACGTGATGCTAATGTCAGCTGTTTAGCTCCAGCAGCACTTGCCACACTGCTTGTTACTCGTGTTGCTTTAAAACTTGTCCCTGTAGCTTCTTGTGATATTTAAAGAACTGCCAGTGTAGGTGGAAAAAAATGTGAAGGTTAATACAAGCAACTGCCTTTTTGGGCACCACAGGCCAACCAGTGTTCATATGAAATACAGACAAATTCTCTACAAATGCAGAAAATGATGCTGTGGGTCTATTTTGTTCATGGTGCCTCTATGGGAATTCCACATCCATTTCAATTTAAAAACTGTAAGGTTTCACTTTATAAAAGTGTGTATCTGTGAATACATCCATCAGTTCCTACCCTGTGCTGCCAGTGGTGACATGTGCTGGTGCGAACGCCTGTGGATCTGGTGTCTGTATGCATACACAGCCAGCACCAACACCATGATGCATCCCATAATGCCCCCGGCGACTGGACCCACAGGGGCGCTCTTGATCATGTTCAGAGATGCCACCTCCTCATCTGTGGAAGAAAGCGAGAGGAAGAAAGGAGAGGGAAGGACAGGCAGAAGGTTGTTTAAAGTACAAAGGATTTCAGACGGCTCAAGAAGTGACAACAAGCCAATATGAAACAGATCGGGCTCAGATCCTAACTCATGCTGCGACGCCGAGACATTTTCTACTTCACTTCGATTCTCTCATCGGTGTGGAATGCCAAAGAAAAACTATTCAAGTGCAGGCAGATGGCCAATTCTCTTCTTAAAAAAGATGAACCAAAGAAAAAGTTTCAGTCAAGCTGAAATATTGGTTGTCTGTGATGAAAGTAACATTTATGTTGTACCAAAGACCCTGAAAATAATTATACCTGTCTTCTTTTTCTGTTGTTGCTTGTTTGTTACTTTACTGTGTTGATTAGGTAGGATAGTCATTACAAAAAATGTCTCCAAACTGTGGAACCAGGCTCTGCAAAGGCTCTGAAGGACTCAGCTGCTTTGTACTGCAACATCGCAATATCACAATATTTACAACAGAAAGGATCTAGTTCTTTAGCGTGAGTACTTGATTTTTATCCACATTTCACTCACCTAAGAGTCCCAGGCCGTCCGCATAAGGGCTCTTGGCACCAACGATGCCCCCGAAACACTCCTTCTGCAGAGCACAGTATGGCTTGTCGAGATGAGTCTTACCGTCGCTGTCCACCATGCACCACTCACAGTCCAATACGCCAAAACAGTCACTGAAACCGGGGCACAGAATATAGTGTTCAAAATACACTTTAAAACACTTAAAAGAACTTAATTAAGGTGATCAATAAAAAAGTAATCTTTCAGAGACAAAAAGTTATTTTTCTTCCAATTTCCTCAGTAAAGAGGGTAAATCTATTTACATTTAAATCTGACAGGAATTCATAAGTAATATTATTATTATTATTATTATTATTATTATTATTAAAAGCTTGGGATTTCTTTAACAGTGCATTACAGTAGATTCTGTCAGACACATAAAGTCATGTTTCTGGGTTAAATATGCACTGATACAATATTTAGAGTTTATTCTATAGTGGCATACAAATACAGATTTGAGCACACTTTCCATTCATTGCCACTGGGTGGCACTATGCTGTTTATGAGCATGACATTCTCATGGTTGGCCATATAACTTTATTGTAAATCCACCCTATACTTCATGTTAGATTTATGTGTGTGTTTTATTTGTCTGGTGGTTTATGCATGTATCTAATGATCAAATCCAGACTGTACAGAACTCAGCCACCAGGCTTTTAACCAGAACCAAGAAACATGATCACGTCACTCCTGTTTTAGACTCTTTACACTGGCCAGTAAGTTTAAGAATTGATTTTACTGATTACTTTTAAGGCTCTACATGACTGCCAGCTTGTACTTTAAGATCCCCGGGCAGAGGTATGGTTCTGTAAGACTGTTATACTTTATACATGCATTCCTATATTCATTATAGCTGTTAATGTTTACTGTAGATGTGTGTAGCTTAGTGTGTATACCTGCTGGTGTATCTCTGGCTACAGCGAGTGTTGATACACTGGGGCAGGGTGTCATGCAGAGTGGGATCAATCACATTCAGACTGACTGGCTCCTGATGCACCTCACAGCTAGGGTTCCTGTATAACACACAATCATGGTGGAGGTGAAAATACAGACCGGTGCAGGTACAGTACATATTCTTGATCAAAATACAAACATACATCTAAATCCTAGAATAAAACATGAATACACTTACAAATACAGTTAATTTGATACAAAAAGAAATCAAAGCGTGCACCCTCGAAAGAATGTCAGCATGTCAATGTATGCAAAGCAGCTCTAAAAAGACAAACATCAGTGCTGCTTGACACAAAATACAGAGGGAACATCTGACATTGAAAAATGATAATTGCATGTCTTCCTGAAATAAAGAAGGAATTGGCATTTGAAACATTGACGTGCTGTCAAAGGCTGCTGATGGTTGATGAAAGGAGACGGGTGAAGCAGGAGAGAGAGAGAGAGAGAGAGAGAGAAAGAGAGAGATGTGGGAGAGACACAAGAATAGAACTGAAAGGAAAGAGACATGGTGATAGAGAAAGAAGTGAGGAAACACCCACAACATTTACGGAGCTCCCTAAAATGTTTGCAGGAGCACATTATTGTCCGCAGTTCAAATGAGGAGAATTGGACTAAGAAAAGGGACTTGCCAGCTTTGAAATATGAGCATGTGCAGACACTAGTACCATGTACAGGAACTAAACCAGTTAATCTGGCAAATGTTTAATGGAGACTTTAAGGGCTGGCAGACATATATACTGATTTAATCACAGTCAATATATATGTCAATATTTGCTAGGAAAATCCTGCAAATAAAGATATTTGAACTAAAAAACATTATATTATTGTGGCATATTTGTAGTTAATTGTGTTATTTCGAAATCTTCCAAATTCCATTTTTCCAAATACGTATCTCTTTTCATTTAACTCTTCAGGTACTCTTCTTAAAAAAGGGATCAGGCATCATCTGAAAAGTATCCTCTTCTATAAAATACCTGCATTAAATAGTTTTAAACACATTTTTCCATGATATTACATCACTCTTTACAAGCAATGTAGAATTTGGGAGTATAAATGTAATGTAGTGTTTGGCTCAGACATGTTTTGCACTGACCTGTTTTCAGCATTGGTGAGGTTTCCAGTACACTCATTGACCTCCAGGGGGCACTCACATGGACACTCACATTCGTTCTGTTCCATTCTGAAAAACACAACAGTCACATGTGCATCAGTTTGCTGTAATAGCATACCATGATCTCCATTTAATTAGTATTTTCATCTGGTCATAAAATTATGATAGCAAATACAATTCACATGATTGTTCCCCTGCAGCATTGTACTCTAGATCTGGATCTGATTCTGATAGGATCATAGAGTTTACTCTCTTTACAACAAAGTGATTGAAAGGAAAAACGGTGAAGCCCTAATGAGAGTGGGGGTGAAGGAGAGACCTGTGGCAGTTGAGACAGAGTCGGTCCACAGTGCTGCAGGCGCAGAACGCCAGAGAGTCACATGTCTCGTTGACGATACCAGCAAAGGCGTTGGTGCCAGGGATCCGGGTCAGACGGTACTTAGAACAATGGCTACCATGGACCAGGTTGGTTAGGTCCCCCTAAGAGAGAGACATATGATCAATACATAGTCCACACAGGGTAATAAAAAGGAATATAAAGTATTTAGACACACATTCATTTGTAATAATCTTTCTGCTCCTTATTAATCTATTTATAAGCTGACCTTAAACTTGACTTATACACTGTCAGACTCTAACTGCACTAAAACACAGTGTCCTTTTATTAGAATTAAAATACATAGGAAGAATTCAAGGTTGCAACACCAAGGATGACCACAAGGTGGCAGTGTTATACTATCACATATTGCTCAGACTGGCCTTCAGAAGTCTGTTTGTATCCAACTGCTGTGTAACTGTGTGAACCGGTGTTCCTGTGCAGTCAACCATACATCCAGTTATCTCATGTTTTTTACCATTATGCTGGTATTGAACTTGTAGAAGCGCTGCACGGTGCGATCACTGAAGCTGTTACAAAGGTTTTTCTTGACAAAGTTGGGATGGTTCAAGATGTCATTAGCCACCAACGGCTCCTGCGATCATGCAAAAAAGAAATGAAAGAAAAATAAACACAAAAAGAAGCAGGTTTTTCTTTTTTTTTATGATTATTAAAAGGCTATATTAAGTTGTTATTTTTACATTTACATATGTGACCCTGGGCCTTTACCTTGTGTGTGATGTGTTGTTGCTCTGCAGGGGCATGACCTTTGGGGTCGATGAGAGTGGGGTGAGCGACCAGGTACCCTCTGTCCTCCATTATGAAGCACCTACAATGTACAAACATAAATATTTTCTTTCTCCCAAGTACTCAATATAACTTCAGCCTGCATAATATGGCTCCATTCTTCCTCCCTCCTTCCCTTAAACATTCTGCCAAATACTGCTCGTCTCTGCCCCACACCCCCTTTGAGCTAATCCTGTTTTATATGGCTCCTGAACACCAACAGAGAGAGCATGAAGCAAGTGGAGAGAGAGAGAGAGAGAGAGGGGGGGAGAAAGACAGGGGAAGAAGAGGGGACTGGGAGAGGAGGGGGTGGAAGAAAAAGGATGAAAAACAAAACAAAAAGAAAAAAGTATGTATGAAAAAAGTCACATCTCCAGCAGGAATGCCATGATAATCAGCTTATCTCTTCTTCCCTCTCTCTGCAAGTTTAATTCTTGTTCCGTAAAACAGAAGTTTAGCCAATCTCTGGATAAATTCAGGGGAAAAGGGCAAAAGAAGCAACAGAAAAAGAATAAAGTAGGAATAATTTGTATGATGTAAAAAGAAGATAAGCCAGCCATTCAATCCATCCTCTTCCTACCTGATCTTGTTGCCCTTGTCCTGGTTGCAGATGGGCAGCAGGTCCAGCAGTACCTTATAGAAGTAGCGTAGGGTGAAGTCTATGCCCATCACTGCAATGGCATAACCAGGGGCCATCTGAGAGCTAAAGACAGAGGAGGAGACAGAGAGAGAGAAAAGTAGCAGACAGAAAATGAGCGAACAAGTGAAGCTTTTCTGTTAAATCTCGCCTGAGATTGTGTGTTCGGCTGTATGCTGACAGAAGTAATTGTCAGTTATAGCTCACTACACTACAGACCTTTATGATAACATAAATGTTTACCCACACCAGCCAAAAAAGTTCCCATTAAACACATAAATAAAAGACATCACACATACACACACTCTCTTTAAACCCGTGTTTACGCAGACTACAGGCTGCACAATGTTATGCTCACTGAGCCAGTCATCAACACGCTAATCCTGACTTATCAGAGACACTGATACTGAATGTTTATGTGTATACTGTACATTTGCATGGGCCGTGGTAAACAGTTGCTATTGTACTCCTTCAAGCTAAGTTTCATTTTAAGCTCACAGAACTACAAACATAAACACTCTAATCTCAGCCGCAGTTTCAGGCTTCTTAAAGCCTCCAACTCAAAGAGGCTGTGTCCAAAACATTCTGCTTTATCTTCTATAAAAATTGGCCCAAGCACAAGGGTGTTAACACTCAGGCTCGAGGAGGTGGTTGGAATACAGTGGCTTGCTCAAGAGGGCTCTCTTTGGAAGAGCAGATAGTTGAAGATAACTGTGACTGAACCCAGATCATTTGGTTGAGGGATACTCTGTTACTCGCTACTCAGCCCTGAAGCAACAAAAACAGTCAATGGTCTCCTTTCGCCTCCTTTAGCCTCCTTTAGATTATCTCCGGTCTTCAGACACAATGTGCTCTGCTGAAATGACTTCTGGGCTGAGAGCCTAACAGCCCACAATGGTGTCTCAGCTCATAACAACAAGGAATCTGTTAATGAGCAGTCTCTAATATGGAGAGCCAAGGTATACATTCACACAAATTTGTCAATCTTGCACATCTAGCAGATACAGAGCGGCATTAGAATTTAAGAGTACCAATAGCTAAATGCTCCACTGTGTTCACTAGGTAGTTACTAACTTTGCCTGCCAACAACACCACTAAAAGAGTTGAACCAAAACAGTAAAGTTGTGGGTCAGGTAGCTATCGCAAACAGTGAACAGTGAGTTGAAACTCAAATACAGGATTGGTCCTAAGATTATCCTGAATCAGTTGCTTTAGAAGACATCATCCTTACACGACCTGTGTAAGTGGAACCAGAACACAATTGGGAGGTTTTGGTGCGTTTACTTCCTGTTTTACTTTTCTGATAAAAACCACTGAAATGCAAATAGGCTACATGCTAAAACTGTGCGTACAAAAAGTAAAGTAGCACAAATAGAGAAGAGTCAGAAGTGACTCAATGGTGACAGTCAAGGGTGAGTTTTATTCCTCATGACTTTAACCTTTCATTTGTAAGAGGGAGATCATGCGTTTTCTTCTTTGAAAAGGTATATTGTCTCACTTTAAATACTTTCATTAAGCACACACTTATTCAGCATAACACTTTCTTACCTGGAAGCATGGATGGTGTGACTGATGGTGACAACGTAGCCCGCCCCACCCACATCCAGGTATGGTCCTGTGAAGGTGATGAGGCCAGGGTTGGCCACAGCATGCTGGTACCTACACAACACGTCACAAAGGTAGAGGGTTATTTCATTAATGTGACTATTTACATTATTTCCTGGCTAGTAAATTAAATGAGATATCATTTAAGATGCTTTTGCAGCTCATTATGGAAACTGGAGAATGAGAACTCTTTTTGTGGGGAACACAGAAAATTGCAGGAGCATTTAACATGTAAAACAACTGTGGATTACTTGCATTACAACTGCATTACTTTACTTTGGAAAAAGGTATTGTGTGGATTCACTGAATATGACAGGATTTTTTTACTCTCACTTTTACTTGATCAATAGTTATTTTGACTAGGTTTTATGTTCAGAAAATAAAATTGAAATGCAAGAAGTTAGTCAGTCTTTTCTGATCAGCTTATACTGTATATGTCAAACAGTACATTTCACTTATAGCTGAATGTACAAACAAAAAACTGTTCTATTGTTAATTACCCTTACTCTAAATATATATTTGTTTCAATAAAGTAGTAAAAAAAAAAAAGGTTGAAACTGCAAACGCTGCAAAAAAAAGAGTAAAAAAAGTGGAACTATAAATGTAATATTTGAATTGTTATCACAGAAAAGCCTGATAGTGCTCTACACAGTGTGCATCCTAACAATCAGCATCAATCAAAACCCAAAAACTTAAAACTTTTTCTTTTTTAATTACTTAGATTTCTAAATAAAAAGACAGGAAAAAATGTTTTTGCATTACATTCTACTGGCTATTTGATTCATTACAATTCAACAGTTTGAATAGAAAATCTTCACTTAATTCAACTCAGTAATGGCTGGTGGCCATTTTAAGCACAAACATGTGCCTCCAGTTTGCACACATACTCATTCCCTTTAACTCCTACCTACCCAACACTATCCCCTACCTCCTTTTGCTCCCCTAAAACACACTCTTCACTCCTGTCTCCCCCTTCACACCCTCCAAAGTAAGCCTCACCATTGTCTGCGGGTCGGGTCGAAGGCTTTGTCCATCAGTGATCCTGGGTAAATCCGGAGCACCCCACTAGGCGTTGCTATGTAACGGCGCACAATGTAGCAGTTGAGGCTACTCATTTCCATTAGTGTCATCCACTCATCCGTGACGTGACTGGTCGCCATAACCTCGTTCCTGACAGAGGACTGCAGAGGGGAAAGGATGAAGGGATGTGGGGGGGGGGGGGAGGAGGGGGTGAGGGTGAAAAGAAGAGTGAAAGGGGACAGAGAAGGAAGGTGGAGGTAAACAAGGAGGGGAAAAAGAAAGTTGAGAAAGGAGAAGAATCTTAATCTACGGTTGGCCTGAAATGTAAGTTGGCTGAATCTTTTGGCAAAGGTTGCTTTCAGTCTAACCATAAACAAAATACACCTGTGAATACAAAAACATCTAAAGTTGAAATTATTCTACTGTACTGCTGCTAAGGAAAGTTATAAATAGATCAATTGTGAAAGTATTATCAAGAAATCCCAAACAGAAAGGCTCAGAAGACAAGTATTCAGGGATAAATGGGACTCAATTAGTCCTAAAGCCCTGAAAAACACCCTGAAAAATTCACATCTCAGCAGCATTTTCAGAGAAGCTTCTAAGTTTGAAAGGGGTGATGAGGTCACTGGAGGGGGGCCTTTAAGACTAGCCTGGGAATCAGAGCTGGGACTGGGGCTTAGAGTTCAAACTCTAACCCCCTCTTCCCCCCAGGACAGGAATGCACACAGACTGCCAAAACCACGTGGGGGTTTGTCCCCTTCTTAAAGATGCAGAGCTTAATTTAAAATGTGTGAATTTTAGCTGTAATGTGAGCAGCGTGAAAAAAGTTAGAGATATTGTAAGAACTAGAATTCAAATTACATTTACAACATTTCTACACACTTTAACTATCTTGTGACCCACTGAAATATGAATATTTGTGTAAATGTCTGTAAGCTACGTGTCATGCGTTTTTGTCAGGTAAACGACATTAACCCTGTGTGCCTCCAGGCTGGACTTAGCCGTGAGTGGAAACTGTGTTCCCATGTTTGTGTACCTTGAGGCCTGGGTTGGCTATGAGCCTGGTGTTATCACTCAGGTAGGCGGTGTAGTGCTCCACCATGCGCTTTGTTTCTGGCTGACTGAGGTGCTCATAGGGAGAGGAGAAACTACCAGCTGCCAACATCACTGTGGGGGACTCTGGGAAAGAGACAGAAAGGGAAAAAGCGGACAGTCAGAGATGCTTATCAATGTTTTAGAGCTGACTATGGGTAAAAAATAAAGTTTGCAGACTCATTTATTACTCCAAGTTATCATATATTAGTCCAGTGCTGTGGATTTGGTGCCTTTCTTACCAACTGTGGCAAGCTGTTTGAAGTGCAAACAGGAGCTGGGCTGACCCAGCAGGTCTAAACGGTGGTACAGTAGCTTGGAGCTGGGAGCGGTGTTCAGGTTCTTCAGGTGCTTCACTGGGATCTCCGGCTGCACATACACGATGCACAGGATGAATGATGTGTCCTGGACCTAGGAGACATGACAGGAGTGGAGGATAAGGTTGATTATATTCTATATTTTTGTTACTGTCAATGTATCATATAAACATATCATATAAAAATGAAAATGGAAAATGTCTTACAGATATATTTGGATTTTGGGGTTAACTACTGTACTGTTTTTGGCAGGTGATCCCTTCTAATGAACAGATTTACCTTAAGGGACCAGTGTGAGCATGTGAATAAAATACTAGTTGATGTAATTTATGCACTCCTGTACAAGATACTTTGTATAAACCAAAAGTCTTTCCCCATCCCTATCAGCTCTCTTTTTCAGTGTTTACCGTCAGCCATCACAGCCAGTGGTTTATGGGCCACAGGCGTCTTCCAGAGAAGATAAACATGTCCAGCTCAACAGCTGCTTTCACACCACTGATTCTAAATGAACCATGGAGGGCTAGTCTGGTCCCAAATTCTGAGGCTTTACTGTTAAATCATGCAAAGTGCCAAACAAACAGTTTTTAGAAAGACCCAGGTGCTTCTGATAACGTGTGTGGTGATATACAGAGGGAGCCCCTGGACACTATTTGTCCTGTAAAATGACAGAATGGTGTGGGAACCAAAAGAATCTTCTCGATTTTTCTTTCTAGGTCAATTTACCAGTTTTCTGGCTCTAGAGAGTTCATTTTAAAAAACAGACAGCTGCCAAATTCATGGGAAAGGTGACGTGTTTGAACTCTAGCGTCTGTGTGAAAAAAACCAAATGTCAAAAGCCTTTAAAAAAGGCAAAAAGTGAAATGCCTGAATTAAGTGTGATATTTTTACTGCTGCCAAAAATCTAAATGTCAAAAAGCAAAAAGACTCAATATGGCGTGATGTTATTGCTGTTCTGTTGCCATTTGTTCCTAAAACACAACACTTCTGGGCCTGAGAGGAAAAGCAGATTCGAGGGACAGACAGTTTCAGGGTGTGTGAGCACTTCGGTTTTTATTACAACGGCTAATTTAAGGTGGCGGAGGTTTGCAGGAGACATAAAGACTGGGAGCATAAATCTCTATACTGCTTTTAGACAGCAGTACAGTAATGATAAAGAGCTATAGACAGAAATGGAAAAGAGACAGAGAAAGTGCACGAGGTAGTAATTCTTCAACCACGACAATGGCTCATTGGCTCACAGCCAAAGATCATCATTTGTCTCGGCTGTGACTCTGCAAGTGCTTATTGTGCTTCAAATATATGATCCTTTTGCTCGCATTAACTCCTGACAACTTGCAATTCAAACGAGGAGAAAAACAAGTAATTTCCAATCTCACATGTGTTCATTTTCAATTATTCTCTAACAATAAAATATTGCATCCTGTTGCATCATTTATTTAAACCCTCAGAAATAATCATTCAACAGAAATTATTTGAAAAATGTGATGCTACAGGTCTTTATAAGGACTTTAAGGATGCAAGTAAGACTTAATGTGCCTTATTTGTGGGTGTCTATGTGAGTAAAATAGTGAGCAGTGATTTCACTATTCAATCTAGGCTGAGTGCTGGCCAGTAAAGTTAAAAGTCAGCAGTGAACACATGTCAGATGTGGACGTTCTGTACGTACACCTACCAGTTTCCAGGCATAGCTGACGTTGTATGCGTCTTTGCTGTTGTCTCTGAGTCGGTTGGCGTGCCAGGACAGAGAGGAGTTGACCGGCACAGCAATGATCTGACTGCCCAGAGGGAGGCTGCAATAAATACACACCATTAAACCACACAAAATACACATACAATATGCTGTGTGTGTCTCTGTGTGTGTCTGTGTGTGTGTGTGTGTGTGTGTGTGTGTGTGTGTGTGTGTGTGTGTGTGTGTGTGTGTGTGTGTGTGTGTGTGTGTGTTCTGGATTTAAATGGTCAGTTTTAAAACTGTTTTCTTAATCTTCATCCTTTCTTACCCGAGGATGTTCTGTCGGACAGCAGGGAATCCTGGGATATTCTCGTAGTGAATGATGTCAGTGTGCAGGGGAGGCTCTGTCATCAGGTAGGGCCGTGTCAGGGATGGATGCATCAGGGTGTAACCTGGGAAATCAAACAATAAGTTGACAAGCAAGATCATTAGTAGTTAGTACAACAACAACTTACACAGACCAAGTAAGAAAAAACTGCATCTGCATGTAACATCAAAACAACTACTGTGTCTTTATTATGGACCAGCAGAGCAACTGGTGGTCACTGTCAAACAAGGCACAATAAAGTTATATTGCACAATTACTCATTCTATCATTATTCATCTACTTTCCACCAATTAAAGTACAAATCATAGTCATTTAAATTAGCATTTTATACAGGTCAAGTGACAAGGCTCAATTCCAGGAGTATTATTCCCCAATAACTAAAAATGTCTTTTTCCACATAATAACATAACAATATTTTATTTTATTTTATTTTATTTTGTTGACCAATTCTGGAAGCTCCAAAGACAGTCAAACAAAAAGACTAGCCATGGTACTGCGCCTCCTTATCAACTAGTTTAGCGAAAAAAAAAAAAAAAAGTCTTAGAATAAAGGAAATAAATTACATTTCAAATTAAGAAATCATAATCAAATCATAAACCTCCTGCCTGTCTTTTGGAGTGTAGAATTACTAACACCAGATACATCTAAAAGGTTTATACTTGTACCCTCTCCAAAACACATCTGAGGATGGTAGATGGATACATACACACAAAGACATTTACTTTACTTTTTTTACTTTAATCTAATAATATAAGGCTGTTGATGCTACAAAGTGAAAGCTGCTCTAATGCTGCTCTCAATCCAGATTCCACTGAGATGGACAACAACATCTAACCTTTAAACGTTTCTAAAGAAGCTCGGTATCAAATAGTACTCTGGTGGTGCTGAGGAGTGTAGGTCTGTGATAAATGGCTCTTAACAGCACCAGTAATCATGTTGGGAGAGACAAAAAGCCCTCAAGATACTGGATTGAAAGTCCATCTGTTCTGAAAGAAGTAAACAAACATGTGTTTTTTTACACAGTTCTAATGCACTGTGTAGCAGCAGGTGTGGTCTCTCACACGCTTTATGGATAATCCATCTGCTGTATTAGACAAAGCATCTCTGTCCTCATACAGAAAACTACAGTGCACATGGAGAGGACCAGAACATTGATAGAAATTACACATAAATCTATACATAATCCCATTCAGGTACCAAACATAGTGTACTTAATAGTAATACTTTGCTACTTTACTTCAGTCGGTTTATCAGGTATCTGTACTTTACTTGAGTATTTATATTTTTGACATTCTTCTGAACATTTTACTTTTACCCCATACATTTTAACTCAAATATCTGCACATTTTACTCCTTACATTTTCAAAATGGGCTTGTTACTTAATTTTTTATGATTTTGAGTGGAATTATTGATGATATTAATATTATTTTGCAACATTTCACACCTTCCAAACAGTAAGACTGGTGCATATCATGCCTGATGACAGACGTAACATGACAAAAACAATGAACAAGACATAACAAGATGAAGCAGACAAGAAAGGGAGACTTGACCCTATTTGAAGTTTCAGTTAGCTTTGCACAGAAACAGCTGGTGGAAATGTCTTTCAGAGAGTACTTTTTACTTTTACTTGAGTAAAGAAGTTAAATGGGTACTTCTACTTTCTATTTTGTTTATACACTTCTACTTGAGTTAAGAACGTGTGTACTTTTGCCACCTCTTTTTGAGGCTTGCTTCTTTCTGATCAACACATGGACTCAAAACGTTAATAGACAAATGCCTCCCACACCAAAATTTTTCCAATTTACTCATCTGCTATTTTTAGTTCCTGGTCCGGAGGCCTCTTGTCAGTGGTGTATTTACCTAATCATATTTACCTACACTCTAATTGGCAGCAGATGATTTGAATGCCAACTAATAACTTTAATGGGCCTCATTTGTCTATGTTTACCGACTTGCTGCACTAATAAGCATGGTGCAGTAATAAGCTATAATTTGATGGCATATTTGTTACAATAACAAACATTTAAAGGGAAAAAAGGAGACTTATTGAATGGCACCGCAGAGGAGCAAAACTCACACAGCTGCAAAAATTCACTTGCAATAATTAGGTTTAATAGTGGAAGATTCTGATGCTGAACACTTATTCAAACCCTCCAGGTGAGTAAACGTCCATGTTTTCGGTTTTGCTCCTCTATACTTCACTTCCCCTCCCTCCTAAATATTTCCCCACTCTACACGTCATGAAACCTTTCATTTCAACCTCATCTTGTTCCAACTTGTTTTAATCATCCCTTCCTCTTGCCTCATATTAGCATGGCACTGCCTCCAAGTCCCCAGAACAATACACATATCAAGTCTGGTTACTGTGGTGATTGTTGCCAGTCATGTTAGCTATACCCGGCCTTCCTGCCGTCTACGTTTCAACTTTAATTTAATTTTCCCTTTAGGCATGGCAAGTATTCAGTTTTAGTTTGGGTTATTTATAGTGTTTTCCCTGATCTCCTCTGTGTTGGGACTTGGGTGATATCACGAATACAGAGAGCTTGTAGAAGAGATACAGGTCTGAACAACAGCTGGCTTCACCTACAAATATAGGTGTGTTACCTGTAACTGCAATACAGTTTCAATTTTAACAGATAGTTTTTCATTTTTAGTTTTCAATTACTATCTTATTAGCTTGGCAGGAGCGGGACAAACCCCATCCATTAATGTCACTGCTCTCCAGGCCTACAGAGCACAGTTTACCTGCTGTGCAGCACCAGTGGTTTAGTCAAGACCCCCTCAGCTGTGGCCAAAACAAACCAAGACCGGACATGAGCACTACCGCCCTGCACTGTGGCAAAACACTGAGGCATGGCTCAACGGAGAATGAGATGCCAAAGAAGTGCCAGTGCTAGCAAGAAGATGTCAATTAAGTCTAATAAGGCATAATGGCTCTGGAGGAAGTTGAGACAGACAAAATAAGGAGTAATTCCACTTGTATGTGAAACAAGAACACCAAAATACACTTTTCTTCCAACCATTTGGGGTGTTTCTCTAAGGCCGTGACTAATAAAGATTGATACCCTGAACACGCACAGGAATGTTTTGTAGACCACTGGAGTCTGACGGACCTGTAGGTCGTAGCACGATCTTTCCTGATTGTTGCTTGTTTTGTTTCTGGCTTAGAAATCTAAGCAACAGGCAATGAGTGACTGATTTGATCTGCTATGTTTGTTGTATTACCCTGTAGACCTGTTATTACTGCACATGGAGAAACCTTTATTTGGAGAACAGGCTGTCATGACTCAAAGCCTTATTTGGTTGTACACCTACTTTACAAACACTGCTGTTCATGTGGCTGACCACAAGTTGAAAAAGACACAGTTCCTGCACGGTGTGTGGGAGAGTCAGGAGCCCACCAAGAATGTTACTGATCACTACCACCTTGCCTGTCTCTATGTGACTGACCTTTGTTGTCAATGAGGAATGTGTATGAAGCCAGTGAGTCTTGGTAGTAGGTGACATCCTCTAAGATGTACGCCAGGTTCACATCGACCCCGACCACGCCCAAGAGCAGGTTACCAAAATAACACGGCCGGCTCACCGTCATAATAAAACCTGGAGAAAGAAGAACAAGGATCCAAGTTAAGTTCATGCAACATCTCAGCTCAGTTTAAGTTTGATACACAAAGTTATCCTTTTGCCTTCAGTAGAAGTGTTTACTTGCCGAGAGTTAGATTAGAAAACCAATATACTTCACATGTCTGTACAATAAATATGAACCAAGAGCCACCAAGCAATTAGCTTCGCTGAGCTTACCTTCAAAGCTCATGAATTAACACGTTATGTCTCTTTTAATCTACCCTGGCAAGTCACTGGCCCAGGGGGAAAAAAAAATGTCTGCATGAAACTCCCTGTAAACCTGCAACTTGTTTTTACTACTAGCTGCTGCCTGTTTCCATTCTATTCTTGATGCTAAGCTAAGCTAACACCTTGCTGGTTCTAGCTTTGTATGAGGATCACAGATATGAGAGTGGTATCAATCTCTGGTCTCATCGAACTCTTGGCAAGAAAGCAAATTAGTGTATTTTCTAAAATGTTGAACTATTCCTTCAAATTTTATATAACTGAAATTCATATCACTTGTTCTGGATGAGAATCTTTGCTATCTGGCCAAAAGTTGAAATGTTATTCAATATTCACCATCTCCCATGGGGTCAGAGTAAGGCAGGCTGAAGCGGGCCAGGTCAATCATGCGATTGGGCAGATTGATGTAGAAGCGGCCCACTGTTGTCTCCAGGTTGCTCAGCTGGTTTAGTACCATCATGCTTCCCTTCACCACCGGCATCATGGAAGAGCCTGCTGCTCCAGACGAGGACACCACAGAGGAGCGGTCCCGGTCCGACATTCGGTCGACACCGTATTTCACCGAATTCTGCTCTGCAAGATCCCTCAAGAAGGCCAGCTCCTTCAGGCCCGTTACTCCCTCTGAAGGAATGAGATAAACAATGAGTTTAGGATAGGGAGAGTGAGTCGATGACGGAATTTGTTTGATTTAATCAAGCAGGGATAATAAGAACAAATCCGTAACTGACGGCATGGCTAAAGGCCTATTGAAGAGAGTAATTGTGCAAATGAAAAGAGGAGGGAGTGGTTGAAAGGAGGTAAAAAGAGTAAAGAGCTCTTCACTAAAGAGCGCATGACTCGTATTATAAAAAGGCAACCCACTGCTCTCTGTAAAAAACAATTCCTTCAAGGAGCTGGAAAAAAGAAATCACACTCCCGCCACCAAACAGGCGCTGAATTCATCAAGAATTTTTTTAATGAGAGATGTATTTAACCTAATGCAGTTCACGTGTTAAAGCAGCAAGAGGCTTGCATTAAACTGGATCATTAATCAAAGTGCATACTATACATCGCCGCATGGATTTCACAACTTCTTTGGCATCAGCATCAGAGATATTTCATACATGCAGGCCCTGACTTGTGATCCTGCGTCACAATCTCTATAAGCTTTATTCGTACAATCCCATGCATCTGCCAAACACAATTGTCGTCTACGAAGCTCAGAGATCATAACATGAATAAATCCCTCATCGCTTTAAAGAAAATATGTGACTGAGACATTAATGCACAGTTCAGACTCTATCTTTCCAATCCTCATAAGGTCATTTAGGGGAGAATGGATAACCATGGCTGTGCAGCTGTCACCTGGAACATTTGGCATCCCACAACCTAGTGGGAAGGATAGAGCGCAGAATCTCTGCCAGTATCCAATCACTGACTGGATTACAGCAGAATCCCTTTTTAATGCCAAGGCTCTGCTCTGCTGATCATCACGCTGGGCGACTGACGGAAGGTAATGTCGCCATGGGTGGCAATGTCAAACGAACACAAAGGAGAAAATTTGCTGACAGCACAGGTTTCTGTTCACTTTAATTTGGGAGGGAGTATCCATTCCCACTCTGTTATTTCTAGGATACGCATGATAATCCTGGAAAATCTACCTCTTCAATAAATTCCATGTGTTTTATTGTAAGCAAACACAATTATGTTTACATTTATTATTTCTCAATAAAATGATGTATATATTTGAGGCCTAACAAACATGAGAAGATATGCAAAGGTGATTTTTTTTTAATATTTTGAAAACCAGATCATTTGCCAGCAGGTCACAAGGAATCAAAATAACCTTCCCAAAAAAGCTGAGTAAAAGATATTATACTGTCGGCTAGTTTTTGTGCTAATTATGCCTTTCACAGCTTGTCTGTGCTGCCTTTTCCTCATCACTCCTTACTACAGTAGGTCATCAGTATGTGCTGTAATCTGTCCATCATCACCCACTTACTCAATCTATGTGCGCTGTGTTCCTACTACTGGTGCAACTACCTAGCTAAGATCAATAAAAACAACAACTGAGAGTTACTTCAGAGGAGGAGGAGGAGAGGTACGGGAGATAAAGGTCTTAAAAGTGTGTGTAATATCTCAAAGTTCTACTCAGAGCCTAAGCTTTCAGTCCCCCCCCCATCAGTAGTCCACCAAAAAGGTTTTTCAAATTCCTAACTGAATCAACAGCCCAAAATGGAAAAACCAAAAACTAGCTCTAGATATGGCCATTCATGTTTGTGGCGTGTTTCGCAAAACCTAATATCTTTCTGTGATGAACTGTTTCAAACAATTCCAGTATTTTAGAGATTTGATTGATCAAAAAACAAACAAAAAAACAAAAGAAAAAAGCTATATTCAGGTAATAATCAACACGGGAGGGTAGAAGCCATAGTCCATAAACCTAGCTGACAGTCTGGCAGTTTATTTAGGCTACCATACCTGGTTTTGGTGAGGGAGATGGGCATCTCATCAACATACACACACATGCGCACGCACACACACACACACACACACACACACACACACACACACACACAACTGTGCAATATACTGCCAAGAGACTGCTGATCTCCTTGAACAATCAGCACTTCACATTTGGCAGGGGATGCAGGGAATAAGACACACACACCCACAGTGGGCCTTTCAGCTGTGTGCAACAGCGTCAGCAACAAAACAAATGTTTTTTTGGATATGCAATGCTAATAAACTCTGAGGACGATAGATTTCTGCATCCTTTTCATCATGGAGCTCTTTAAACAGCCAAGGTCCTCTGTCAGTCACACACAGAGTGAGCAGTACGCCCTTTGAAGTCTCACTCTCTCCTCTCTTAGATGTACCTCATTTCCATTCTCAGATGCAAAAACGATTTGTATTAATGGTGGACTAATGCATGCGCAGCAGAGGTGAGTGTATGTGTGTGTGTTGCGGATGGGAGGTGGGAATTAGAGGAGGCAGATGGATGGACAAGGACAATAAAAGAGGAAGAGGAAGCATACACACCAACACACACACATACAGAAAAAAAGCCTTTGAGGTTTCCAAGCACCTCTCTAACCTTCAGTCTTCTCTTGAGCACATTGTACCCAAGAACACAGAGAAAATTTATCTAACACAGAAACAGGTCTAAGCAGAGCCAAAAATGAATGAAGCTCTAAATATGTGCAAGAAAATGATTAATAAATCAACATTTATGTGGGGAACATGCAATTAAAAGACAGCAAAAAATTGTGTGTTCAACAGTCTTTTTTGTGCTTTGTTATTAAAAAACATGATTTTTTTTTAGCTGGGCTGCTGGTCTAAATACCAAAAGAAATGTACAACAATTTAAAAATGCTGTCAAAACTAGTGCTATTATAGTAAAAGGAGCGTAGAGTTTTGCAGGAGAATTGGTTTATTTGTGGGGATACAAAATCCAGGTGAAAATAGGTTAAAAACCACAAATTTTCATTTACAAAAAGGTACAGTCTGAAATATGAGAGACCTACCATTCATGAGAGCGTAGGTGAGGATCATGACTGAGTTGTTCAGGTGTCGGTTCTCCTCTCTGACCACGCTGAGGGTCGCTCTCTTCTCTTGCTCAGACGACTCTCGAGATGTGATACCAGACGACAGGTAGATGATCACCATGTCTGTGGCTGATAGAAGATAGTAACAAAAGGTAAATACAAATACTCAAACAACGCATATATCAATCAATATTAAATAAAATGACAAAAGAGAATTGATTATGTTGTAAAAGGCAAAATATGCCTATAAAAAAATGTGCCAGAGCTGGAATTGATCACAAAGGCAGTACACACACACACACACACACACACACACACACACACACACACAACTGTGTACATCACCACAATTTCACAATATTTCTTACTGGTGCTCTGTTTGCAGAGACTGCTGGTGTTTCGGAGCAGCTGGAAGGCCTTCTGGAAGCCCGCTGCGTGCTGTGTGGCTAAATCAGAGGCCTTGATGTTGGAGATAAAGGTGCTCATCTTCCTCTTGGTCTCACTCGTGGCTGGAGAGAGCAGACTCTTATAGCACTGGTCCAGAGAACAGGAGCGAACCGTCTCTGCCACTGACAGAATGGAGATCTGGAGAGGAGTGATAAGGAGATTCAATAAAAAATATATAGTTGGAGTAACAGTGTGCCTTTTTTTGACTGTCCAAAGCATTAAAGCCCATTTGGTGCTCTGTAAACTTCCAATGGGGTCTATTCCAATTCACTAACCTTGTCATGTTCATCTATGGCGTTGAGGATGACCAGTGCTGAGTCCCTGGCGATCTGAAGCTGGGTGTCGGTTACAGACGCTCCGTGGTCCACCATCACCACGATGTGTTTAGACTGGGGACGAACCGCAGACACATACACTGGCCTGCAGGAACACACACAAACATGCACGTAGAGATCAGACACTCGATTACACAGTAATATAACCAAAGATAATATGAACACATACTGTAACAGCATGTGTACAGTGAAAATAAAATGTCCTGGGAAACATCAGAAACATGTGATGTAGTTTTCTATGAGCTGGAGTAAATGTTTATTGAAAGCAGCAACGTGACTCTGCAATGGTCTCCCGCATCTGCTAACTAAACATTATGTCTTTGTCTTTCACCCTTTCCTCCTCCTCCTCCTCCTCCTCCTCCTCGTCCTCCTCGTCTTTATTGGGTGGCTTTTGTCAGAGTTTCCTTTTTTTGTCCAGTCTGCATTAAGCAAAAGGTTTTCCTCAGAGGTCCCCTTTCCTTTACTGTTATTCTATAACACTGTCATTGCTGACTAATTTATGCAAAATCATGTGTGTTTTTCAGTTTATGGTTATGTGTTCTTGAATTGTCAAAAAAAAAAGAGCTTTTTAGGCCTCATGTAGTCCATAGTGACACAAAAAAACTAAAGAAATATAATTAACTTCCTGCTTCAATATGAAAATGTACCCCTCAGAGAAATGATCCATTTACAAAAAGCAGACGTTGTGCTCACTGTCAGCCTGCTGTTTACCTAATAGTAGGTCTAAAATATTTGGTGTGTGTGTTAATGCAGTCATGTTCAAACATGGGTCCTTAAGTGGGCTGTAGGGGGTCCTCAGCAAAAGGAGGAATAGAATATTTTTTGCTTGTATCACATTTTCTGGAAGTTGAAATGACAAGGAAAGGGTTGTAGTGATCTTAGTTTGATCAGTGATTGACTAAAGAAGACCTTTATGAACTTGATACCTAAAAATATAAATAATACTCAAGGGGACAAAATCCTCTCAAATTCGGGGGCTGTAGACTAATGTGTACCTATTGTGGGGGTCTTTGACACGAAAACGCTGGGGAACCCCTGTGTTAATGTACGTATATTATCAGCTTGATGGGGTACGGAGGGTTGCAGAGGGTAGCGGGGGTCAGTGCCTGTATGTGTGTGGTCTGCTGGACAGGGAGACACTAACACAGGGTGGAGAAGGGGAGTGATGTACTCACAAAGCCTCATTCACACTTGAGGCAAGCCAAGAAATGTCATTTCTCTCATGGCTGCATGCCAGCTCACTGACGTGAACAGCAAGAAGAAAAAGAAAAACATCAAAAAGACGTGATTTAAAAAAAGCGAGAGAAAAGTGCAAAATGCAGCAGAGAGACAAAATAATATAGAAAGAAAAGATGCAAAAGAAAGAAAGATGTCTTTCAGCCGTGGCCACATAAAAACCCACAACACTGGAGGTGTGAAATTCCAAAAGGCTTTAATGGTACAGAGCCACATTCCTGCCAAGGGCATGTGTGGTCAGGGTGTGTGAGGGCGGCATGCCATCAACGTGCCCTCTGGGCCACCCCACAGCAACTGACAGAGAGGAGGGGTGAGGAAGAGCAGTGGGAGAGAAGGCGAGGGCAAGAGCAAGTTGATGTGGTTTAAACTTCATCCAGCCCGTTTTGGTGCTATGCAAAGTGAAGGGATATCTGTTGATAAATTGTGTGTTTGGCAGTAACTTTGAGCTCGACAGTGAAAGAAAATCAAATGTTTAACAAAAGGAAAAGTTGGTCTATACCTGCTGCGGTGCTCATAACTTCCCTTGCACTGGAACTTGTGGGCAGGGAAGACTGTGAAGATGCCCTCCTCTGAGCTGAAGTACTGCCACTTTATCCCCGGGTTGGACTTCAGGTTGTCTGCCAACACTGTAAAGGGAAGAAACAGAGAGGGAACAGCAAATATGTTACGAAAAGGGATGGATAAAAGGGGAAAAGGGAGAGAGGAGAAAGATCAAAGAAGGAAAAACAGGCAGGAGGGAAGAAAGAGGGGGTAAAGCATAGGAGTACAGTACAGAGAACCACAGTCTCCTCCAGCAGGGAGACCTTTTAAGTTCAAGGGGTTAACTGTGATTCCTGTGTGAATCAGGGTGGGTGAGAGAAACAACTCGCATGACCAAGATCAGTCCAAAACACACTCCATGTGTTCACATATCGTGCTGTTCATGCTCAACATTATAGTTTCTACCCAAAGCAAATAAGGAAAAACCAAAGGAATACACTTGAATTCTGTTATTTGTCTGTCCACTTCAGTATGAAACTGCACATATTTCCAATAAAAGGGTGTCGGTTAGGTAAGACTTCCTTGAAGGTTGGTCTTGTGCTTAAACAACATTGAAAGGTCCTTTATGATGGAGGATCAGAATGATTTCTGGATCAAGCGAAGAGCAATCAGTTAATGGAACTGTATACAATTGTGTTGCCTCTAAAATCTGGTTCCCTTTCTGTCTGAACACACAGTGAGAAATAATGTAAGAATTGACTGTAAAGGATAACTTAACACGTTATGTGAAACGAACGTCTGCTACTTAAATCATGTTTGTGAGCTGCTGCACACAAACTTTCGTAACTTGTCTACAGTGGTTGCCAGCAAGCTACAGAAATTGATTTGAATTACTTATTCATCAATCTCTACATGAAGTCGGTCCTAAGTACACATTGGATATGCTTGAGTTATACAACCCTGCAAGACCTCTTAGATCTCTTGGCAGTGGCTTGCTAGTGGTGCCAAAGGTAAAATCTAAACAAGGTGAAGCAGCTTTTAGTCATTAAGCAGCACAGCGCTGGAACCAACTGCCTGATGGTCTGAACACCACAACCGTTACAGTTTTAAAATCCAGACTGAAAACTCTGTTATTCTTCAGCACATTTACTGAAATGATAAGTTATTGTGCTTTTAATATTTTCTATATCTTACGTGTGCTGTTTTTAACTTTGAACTGGGTTGTTTTATCTTTGAGCTGTCTTGTTTTTAACCACACTGCAGCACCTTGAATCTACCTTTGTATATGAAACATGCTCATAAATAAACTACCTTGCCATGCCTTACTTTCCCACTGATAAACATCAGTGCATTGTTTTCTGTTAATTGCCTTTTACCACCTAATTCAGATCTATGCAAACCTGCCTGTTAAGCCGTGACAATGACTTAAATACAGTGCTTTCTGACTGGACATAAAGCATACACATGTAAATGCTTCCCCCGTTCACACCTCTCACAGAATAAATTAACTCCATGAAGAAAAAGAAGTTTGAACTGTTCAACTACTGGGAAGTATACAGTATGTTTCTTTCATGTGGATACCGGATGTCGATGTCGGTGTGTGTCATAACTGTGACTGCAGGGTAAGCTGAAATAACAGCTTTAACTACAACCTCTGCAGAGACACTGAGCCTAAGTATTTGCTCAACACTAACAGGCAGAATTTTTTTTTTTTTTTTTTACTGGCTCACAGAGTCAACAATATCTTCACAGAGATCCCATCACAAAGCCGGCAACTTCCTTTCCGCTCACTGCAACACAAAACGGCCTTTCACAAAGAGATGGGGGGGCGGAGGGGGGATGGAGTTAGAGGGACACAAATAGAAACTTTGGGCCCTTTACCAGGCGAAAACAGAGACAGAGAGGGAAGAAACAGAGCGTAGCCTGCAAAGCAGGCTTTATCAACATAACATGAAACAATAAAGCAACTGTTAAATGTTTTTTTCTATCTGAGAAAATACAGATATGCAGACCAGCCACCGCAAATCCAATCACCTTAAGTCAGTATAGCAAACTATAAATATATAGATTCACATTATAGGACAAATCTTGTTAGGATGCAAATCAGATAGCAGGATGAAACAGTTCAGAAGCTCTAAAGGCTATAGAGCTAAAATAAAACAAGTTGCAATTTACATTTCTGCTTTAGGTCTTTGCTAGTAGCCACACAGGACTACACCCTGTTTTTGGCTAGAAATGAATCTCTTATATCCAGTCCAATATAATAAAAAAAAGAGGAAGTTTGGTTTGATTTAGTCTGGATTTATAATGCTTAATTTCTTACAACTAATAAATATTCATTGCGGTTTCATTAGCAGCTGTATGCTTTCACCAACTATTTTGCCATTTAGCTGAGTATTTGTTATTCTGCAGCTGGAGGTTTCCATTGACATAGGTGGGATTTCAAATATCTTGTTAATTAAGTCTATGGTCTTTGCCAGACATACTAACTGCCATTCTTGCATGTCAGCTGGGTCCAAACAGTCCCAAAATGTGGTTCTTGGCTTGTGATCACATTGAATTAATCACCTGCTAAAGAGAACCTGCTTTGACCCTTTCCAACCCTGCGGCAATATTACGAGCCAAACACAAGATCTTTTTCTACGGTAGGGGTGGAAAATTAAATGTCAAATATTCAACGAATAAGAAAATCCAAACCCAATTCAATTCATGCACTAATAGTTAAATGTGAAGTCAACCAACTGACAAACATTATAAACAGCACCAAAATGCACCTCTGGTACATGTACTTGGCAAATAACTTTTTTTGAGACACGACAGGTTGTTGCATACCCCGCTCGCCCATCATACATCATCCCTGCCCTGTCACTCCATCCATCTCTGAGGCTCATATAAACAGGAAACACTCAGTTTTGTTGACAGTGGAAGAAGGGCTCTATATACATCTGTCAGGCCACAATGCTCCACTTTGCCACTGATGTTTACATCTTCCCAGAAACAGATGGACAAGCCAAGAAATAGGACCCAAATGACACCCATTTCCTACAACCATAATTGTAATGACCTGCTTTGATACATCTGCATCTACATCCTTACATAAACACACCATATGTTCAGCAAGTATCACACGCAAGGAGCGAATGGTGCAGATATTGGGGGAAAAACAAAGAATTTACTTCATTGTCTTCATATGACCTACTTTGCTCTGTATGGTGGTGCTAAGGATTGCACAGTGGTGACTCTCTCACTGGTTCTTTCATTTTATAAAAGACAATTAAATCTACATCAATTCTATATCAGATTTGTGTTTACATCCGGATGTTTAACAGTTATGTTTACTATATTCCCCTATATTATCTACTCCGGGTAGGGAGTGAGTCCTTACCCCAAGTGAAGGAGTTCAAGTACCTCAGGGTTTTGTTCACGAGTGAGAGTAGAATGGAGCAGGAGATTGGCTGGAGAATCGGGGCAGCAGGGGCAGTATTGCCATCCCTTTATCGAACAGTTGTCACAAAAAGAGAGTTGAGCCGAAAGGCGAAGCGCTCGATCTACCAGTCGATCTTCGTTCCTACCCTCACCTATGGTCATGAGAGATGGGTCATGACCGAAAGAACAAGATCGCGGGTACAAGCGGCCAAAATGGGTTTCCTCAGGAGGGTGGCCGGCGTCTCCCTTAGGGATAGGGTGAGAAGCTCGGACATCCGTGAGGGACTCGCAGTAGAGCCGCTTCTTCTTTGCGTCGAAAGGAGCCAGCTGAGATGGTTCGGGCATCTGGTGAGGATGCCTCCAGGGCGCTTCCTGAGGGAGGTGTTCCTGGCACGTCAGGCTGGGAGGAGGCCACGGGGCAGACCGAGGACCAGGTGAAGAGATTATATCTCAACACTGGCCTGGGAACGCCTCGGGATCCCCCAGTCGGAGTTGGCCAATGTGGCCAGGGAAAGGGAAGTTTGGGGTCCTCTGCTGGACTTGCTACCCCTGCGACCAGATCCCGGGTAAGCGGATGAAGATGAGATGAGATCTTCCCCATCTCAGTTTAGCATGCTAGCTTTTATGGCGCTACATGGAAAGTGAATGGATCACCAGAGCAAAATTCATCCTGGTGAGAATATGAATGTCAAGGCAACCCATCCAATAGTTGTCTTGGGAACTTGGCATGGTAAAGTCAAGGTGAGAATGGTGGCATGGTTGAAGTTGTTGGAAAATTGGGTAAATATAAGTATGTAAATACGTGCATGCACATACAGTTTGGTTCCTGAAGCAATGCACCTTTTGGGAACCATACGAGCAAAGTGTGGGTTGAAGACAAGATGGAGGCAGAGAATATTGGAATAGTAAAATAGCAAACATGGAGGTGACATGACATCTCTACGCCAGGTAATTGGATGAAATTGCAAAGGAAGGATACAAAAGGAAAAAATGGATGGAAGAAAGAAGATGGATCAAACTAGTCATCTAATCATACAGCACTCAACCCGAGTCATCTCTCTCCTACCTGTCTTTTTACTCCCACCTGCTGGTATCACCATTGATGCCTCCCACATCCACTATCTCTCCCCTTCCTCCCCCAAAAAATAAAATGGAAGATGGGAGGAGAGACGATGGAAGGAATACAATACAGTCTTGATACAATTACTCCATTTCAATCAGCTCTCACCCCTCCTTTCTTCGCTTTCATTCATCATTCTCTCCCTCTCAATTATCCCTCACTCTCTCACCCACTCCCTCCCTCCTTCCCCTCGGTGGCTGCTTGTTTAGACTGGGCTGAGACAAATGGGAGAGAATGAATACGCTGGGAACGTGGGGGTCAAGGAGGGCTGAGTGTGAGGGACAGGGAGAGGAGAGTGGAGGTGGAGGGGTAACTTGAACTTGCCATGACTGGCTTGTAAGGAAAATAAAACCCAGCCGATGGTGACGTGTTATGAATGGCAGTCATTATGAATGGTTTGCAGAGAGAGGAGCAGGCTGGGATGACTGGAAAAAAATAGGGGGGGAAATGGGATGGGAGAAGCAGAACAAATGATGTTGGAGGTTTCCTGTAAAATAGGAAGGAAGAGAGGGGCAATTGGTGGGAACAATGGAAGAGTAGAAGGTTAACTTTATTTCAAATAAACTAGTTTGTAGTGTGCTCTGAATATGTAAGGAAATAGGGTTTCCACTCTAGAAGGTGGGACAAAAAACACTTGCAGTCCAAGAAAAGAAAAAGCAATGAATCATACCAATGGGGATAATGGCACATACTTTCAGTTAGTGTCTCCTAAAAGGCATTCATGATGTTACACTTGTACACACAAAAAGAGAGCTTAAAAGAGAAGTTCATATCCTTCTTACTTTCTCGCCTCTGAACACGTGGTGAGTCGCTGTGAACGTCCTAATGATACCACAAGCACTTAATTTGCAGCATGCTGATGTATTCAAACAGCCCTTCCCTCTTTTTGCGCCCGAAAATAATTCAATCTGCAGCTATTTTTTAAAAGCCTAGGCTAAAATTAGTTGCAATTTTGTGTTATTTTACAATATACTGTGGTAAGTAAGCTAGTCAGGTAGTTGAGGATGCTTGTGTAACCTTTTCCCCCTGAAATCCGGTTATAAGGTGACCTTTGTGCTTCCTACTATGTTATATAGCACTGTAAACAAGCTCTGCAAACCAAATTAGGTTAGGTTTAAGTATTAGATTAGAAATGTAGAAGTTTTAGTGGCTTAAATTGGAGTTTAATTAAAGCAATGATTAGCAAGGGGAAAATCAATGCCTGACAAGACTTGGGATAGGGAAACACAGTGCTCCCACTATGTTAGTGGAGTTTGAAGCTGGATTTTTATTGGACTTTTGCTGGTAAAAGTGCTTATGAAATTGATTCTTTAAGCATAAAACCGCAGTACTTGGTAAAATAAGCTACATTCTTCCAATTTGACAATTTTTGTAGAAAAATGTGGGGTATTTAAAAACTTTTCTTATGAGTAATCTTACTCATAAATCTTAGTAAACCTCTGGTAGAGATGGCTTTAATTCTTGCAATCACACAATCACAAATTCCTGGAGGGGACTGGTAGTGATTTTACAATGTGTGACTGAGACTGGAGGGAAAGTGGTACAATATTCCGGGAAATACAGCTTGTGTTACAAACACAGAAGGAACACACCGCCAACCAAGCAATGGCAGCAGAACACAAAAACCAGCAGGGGAAAGTTGGCCTTTGCCTGGTTTTCATTCAACTCCGTCCATTTTCTTCTTAATCAAATACAGGCCGACATATGTGGTATAGACACAAGTGGGTTTTACATGGTTATATTCTGCCATGTGCTCATACAATCCGGAGGCTCAATAAATGTATTGTGGGAACAGTAAGAACACCATCAAACTGTTTTCCATTGCTTGCTCTCTAGTACGACTTGCGAGGTTGCATGTATGTACCATAACAACACAAATATGCCTGGTTTTTGTGACAACTGATGCAATTTCCATTGGAGGTGAAGTGAGGACAGAAACGAAGAACGGATACTACCTGAATACAATTGCAGACAGAGTTCAAAGTCAAACAGAGTGCATTTGATCTCAGGCTATAAAAATCATTTTAAAATCAAAGAGGAGAAAAAAAAGAGAGGCCAGACAGAAAGAGAAAGTGAAGAAAGTGTGAGTGAGGAATCACAGGAAAAGACTGGAAAAACATCTCTTTAGATGTGCATAGCAAATTATTTCCATCTCAGATAAATGTCCTTTCCTTTTAACATTTCAGAAGATAAGAAGAATAGCAAAGATAATACAACTTCTTAATTAAAATCCAGTTGCCATGGCAAGTGCTATTACATTATTCAGCATTTGGTGTGTAGTCAGAATTCCAAACTTTAAATGGTGCAAAGCTTTGTGTGGGCATGTTTCATTTGTTAAACCAGGCCAGTTTGTATACTAGCAAATACTCATAACTTCATCTGGTGTGTGTGTGTGTGTTCTGTGTGTTTGACAAACCTGAGTTGAGGTCCCGTCCAGGGTTGAAAGCTCGGCTATTGACAGTGGGGGAGAGTCTGTCACAGCAGATGGTCTTGGAGACATTGGTATTGAAGTTTCCATCAAACCTAAATACAAACAAACAGGCAACATTTGAGAAATTTATAGAGCGTGTCCAGCTCATTTGTTGGTGGAGCAGCTCTGAGTTTTCTCTCAGCACTAACAGATTTACTACTCCACAGTTTTATTTCCAATAAAACACAACTCACAGGTTTGCAAATACCTCTGACTTCATGGTAACGTTCATGCTTTAACTAAAAAAAAAAAAAAAGATTGCATAAAAGGTGAAGAAATCTATGTGAAAGCATGGAGTTAATCCAATTACGTGAAACATCTGTTGAAACTAATAGACCCTGCTTGTTTCATTTGAGCTGAATTGTATCGGTGGCTATATCATCTGTTGCCCAGAGCTCATATTAAAAGTAGGAGTTATGGCAAGTGAATAATATTTTCCATGGAAAACTGCTTCAATTCTGCTTTTCTCCAAACAAAGCTAATACCCAGTTCCCTGAATACATCTGAATGTGATTGTAGAAGGGGCTGCCCGCTCAGTTTGGTGATTTAAATCATCTGTCAAAGAGCTCCAACTTGTCAGTCTCTTTGTCAAATTTTTCACATTCCCTCTGTGTCATTTTCAACGGAACATTTTACTAATATCAGAAAATGTGCAGTAAAATTACTGTTTTCCATTGAGCCATTGTTTTCCAATTTTTATGTAGGATATTAGTATGTATGTAAATATGTATTTTCATTCATTATACCATTAATATTCACACAAAGTCACTGGTAAAACAGTGAATTTGTTTGGGCTATATTAGTAAAAGAGCTCTTTATTTTTGTCAAAAAATTAATATCCTTGTGTGGTAATGCAGTAGGGAATGCGGTCTATTTCAAAAACTCAAGGTGTAGTCTTGTGTGGCTCATGTCTGCAGGTTTTTGTGTTGAGAAAATCTTAGTCATAAGTCTGAAAACTGAAATATAGATAACATATGCACCCATTTATAATATATTCCTATCTACAGTTTACAATGGAGCCTAATTAAATGGTACCGGATGGATTCACTCAGAAGATAAGAGCACAAAAAACACTTCAATCCAGTTCCTGAGATTTTGAAGATATGTAGATTCCTATATTCTTAACAATATATGCAAAAACATACTGTATAGGGCTGACACTGAGACACACTTCTATTGCTCAATTCAGGGTTATGGCATTTGAGGAGATAAAAGTAGGAAGT